AGTCTTGGTGGAGTGAAGGAGTGTGAGTTTGAGTCAAAGTGAGGTGTATTTTGCTTCAAACATATATAGTGGAACGTTTTGTTCTAGTTGGGATAGTCCACAAGGTTTTTCCCATAACGATTGATTGATTTTCACTAGTCGGAGTTTCCTCGCTAAAAATTCCGATGTCATCTTTCAAACTTTGTTTACTTTACTTACACTTTATTTTTGCTTTGTAGATTTCATTTTAGTTTTATTTAGGTAAAATTAAAATAAGTAAAAATTAAATAAATGAGAAAGTAAAAACTTATTCACTCCCTTTAGATTATTTTTTAATACAAACTTTTCCATTTTTTTCGGTTGCACAACTCACCACATATATATATATATATATATATATATATATATATATCATAATGGCAACAACCGCAACACTTGAGTGATATATACAACCGCAACACTTGAGTGATATATATATATATATATATATATATAATTTTTTATATGAATCAAATTCTATTATGGCAGCAAGAGCATGCACTTGAGTGACCCAATTAAGAGCATATTCTTCATACGTGAAAACAAAAGATAAAAATATGCATTGAACATGAGTAATGTGTGTGACAGGAAGAATGAAATATATAAGCCAACAAAAGATGTACCGAGAAATGTCGCCCACAAACAAGTTATAATTAAATTAACAGGTTATTTAATGAATTTACTAAGTGTTGTTTTAGGTTTAATCAAACTTTACCGGGAAAAAATAAATAAATAAATAACTAGATGTACTTACGGAGTTCAATATAAAATTTATTTTGTAGGGTTTGAATTATATGTTAGTATAAAATATAAGGTGAATTACATTAAATTTTTTTTTTTATTTGCATTTTGTATTAAAAAATATATATATATTTTTTATTTTTATCAAAAAATCTCCCTCAAATAGTTGAGGGGGTGATTTAAGTAAATGGAAGTTAGGTGAATGGGAGTTGTTTGCATATTGAATTTTCTTATATATGTTTTAAACAAAAATGCCCCTATACCTATTTTAATATACCTCCACATATATATCTACTCTATTTATTATCATTCTTAACCGCATATCCTCCACAATTGCAGCAACACGTACTCTTCTTCTTGCTCAACTTCTTTTATTTATATATATATATATATATATTATATACCATTATAATATTATAAATAATATATATCATAATATAATGGTATATATAATATTTACCATTAAACATAATTTATACTATATTTGCATTTTCATCTAACATTCAAACCTATATAACTTTGGATTTTTCCTTGAAATTCCTTAGTTTTTATTGATTTTTATTTTATACAAATTTGTTAACGGGATACTACAATAAATAATGCCTAGAGTTTTTCTTTTTTTATATTTTATTTATGCCTACATGTTTTTCTTCTTATTATTATTATTATTTTTATATATATTTCAAAATAGTTTTTTTCTATAAAAAAATCTAATCCTTCCATGTGACTAGTGTTAAAATGTTAACATATTAAAAAATATATATAGAAGTGTTAATTTATATGAATGAATAAAAAAAATCAAGATGCACTCACAAAATAGATTTTTAAATAGGCTTAATTGGTATTTAAGTTAATTTTTATTTCAGTTCCCTTTTAGCTAACGTGGGTTTGCTAAGTCAGCCCTTGAATGGGTGAGGAGTTTTTTTCGGCCAAAAACAATTCAAAAAAAAAAAGGTTAATACAAAATAAAAATAGAAAAAGAGAAGTTTAATGTAATTTCCAGCGCGCGAACCTGCAACAATGTCACGCGAATGGGGAAGAGAGAAGCTTTGGCTCGTGATCTGAAGAGGAAACAAATCGGCTCGGCTCTCTTGCACCGCTGAGCCGAAGCCATCTTGAAGCTCTTGTCTGATGTCAATTGCTCCAATGACAGCGCAGACACCACTAAAGCGTTGAGAATGTGATCTCTCTCTCTCTAAAATTCATAACTTGGTTGATCCAATCTAGTGCTTTTATTGTAAAAGTGATCAGTATGGTTGGATGACCCAATCCATAGATTATATTAGAAAAGTAATAGAGACTGGATCGACGGTGATGGTTGGTGTAAAATATGGTATATGTAATGTTATTTGCGGATTAATAAATAAAAGGGTAAAATGGGTTTGAATAAAACGACTACATTTTGTGCTAAGAAATTTGCACATCAAAACGCGTTTTATGCTTTGGTGAGTTAAATGTTACTAAAGTTATTTTTATAATTGACAAAATATTGTTTTTTTGCTTTTTAAATCAATTGGTATATCAGAAGGGTACTTTTGTCATTTAATCACAGACATAGTGCAATGTGATCCAATTTCATAATATTAAGGGTTTTTTTAAATAGGTTGAAAGTATTTGATCAAAAATGATAGTATTGGAGTTCTCGTAAAATTTGTCCTATTTTAAATGAATAGCACATAGTTTTAGTTGTCCAAAGTTTCCAAGGTGTGGCGTGCTGGATCTAATTTTCAAGCAGTGAACGACTTTGTTACAAGTATTCATATCCAGTAGTACATCGAAGAAAATGCTTTGCAAGCCCAACATTCCCAGCACTTCAGCCTTAGTGATTAGGCGGAAAGCATCCCAACCCAACCATGGGATGCTTTCATGCGGTATGATACTTTTGGCCCAACCAAAACTTCTGCTGAGGAGTTGGGCTTATCTTTCACCACTCGTACATTGAAGGCCAACAGCTCCAATGGGCAAAAGAAATCAAGAAAAGAAGCATAAACGGGGCAAAAAAATAAGTCCAATCAAGACCCAACAAACATCCTTGCAATTCAAAACAAACCATTGAGTATTGACACAGTGACCGTTAGACAATTTTATTTTGAGTTAATTTAACTTTTGCTGAATATCACACTAAAATAATTTTTAAAAATTATTATCTACATTATAAATACTTATCACGTTTTTTACTCACACTCAGTCATTATAAAAAAACATTATTATCTTTTGACTTTGTCAAAATTTTCTTTTACTTTAAAAAATTGTTTAAAAGACTAAAATACCCATACTTTTTTCCAAATTCACTCATCAACCATCCAAAAGAATTTTACCAAAAAAAATAGGTTTTTATATATGCAAGTGGGCGGCGGCGGCACTATGACTGATACAAGAGCGATCTCAAACTCGATTATGTTTATGTATATATATATAGAGATATATCGTGTTGCCACCTCTCCTTCCTCACTAGTGCTGTCGGCATCAGTGACCCACCATCAAGTCCCAATTCACAACCACTGTAAATACCAACCGAAGTTGCGTTACTCACCATCGAGCCCAAGACCCACTCTGCAAATTCCGGCATTCATCACTGATGGTGTTCCGGCTCCAAGTATTGGTATTATTTTACGTGAAATTTTTATTTTGAAAAAACAATATCCAATAAGTTATTATTACTATTTTTGTTGCAAGAGAATCGCGCTAGTTTACAGTGACGAGGTTCGCCGGAACCGCCAAAGGCGGGGAAAGAGGCAGACAAACCAGATTCTTTGGAATATATCATCCTTGACAAAGGACTGCTTTTTTTTCTTTTTTTCTTTTTTTCTTTTTTTCTTCCCTTCGAATATCTAGATCTAAGCACTCATTGGGCTAATAGAGTAAGCAATCTCTCTAAACTCAATTAGATGAGAGAAAGAAAAGCAAATAAAATGCATTTATTGGAGCTAACAGAGCAAGCACAAGCAATCTCTCCAAGAGTCCATCTCTGTGTGCCTTTTACAGCACAATTGGTAAAGATGATTCTCTAAGAGATAAAAGGAGTGGGTATTGCTGAAAATAATTAATGAGGGTAAATTAGATATTTTAAATTGTTGATATTTTGTAATAAAAGTAATTACAAAATTAGAGAGAAATTTGTCTTTTTGTATTTTTTTATCTGTGTCATTGATAGAATAGTCATTTTAAACCTAAGTGATGGTAATTTTTGAAAGATGTTTTAGTGTGATATTTGTCCAAATTTAAGAGGGTGTTCGTAAAATTTACTCTTTTATTTATATGTAATTTCAGTTGTCCCAATTTTTAAATTTTAAAATAATATATTATAAAAAAATAATACTCAATAGTATATAATAACAATAAAATAAAATAAAATAATCAGCAATTGCCACCACTAACGTATTCGTAAGTTCGTGCATGCTATCCAAAACTTGCCTAAGTAAAAGTTTTCAAGTCAACTCTCTTCTAATTTTCTTTTTTCTTCTTCAAATTTGATACACCTGTATAAAAATTCATTCCAAGAGTTTAGATTAGTACACAAACCACTTTGAGGTGTGTCATGGATGGTTTGATTTTGGTGGTCATGACTTTACTATTAGATGTGTCATAAACAAGGACGGATTCAAAGGTGGGCGAAGTTGGCTTCAATCCACCCAAAAAAAATTTTAAAAATAGTAATAGTAACTCAATTTAAAGTTAGCCCAGTTCAAAATTAGGCCATCTCATTCAAAAAAAAATAGATCAGCATAAATATCTTTGTTAGATTCCTAATATCAAAAATATCAATTATTTGTACTTCTGAATGTATGTCGTATACTTTCCTAACAAGGATTAAATACTTGACGTAATACTTTCATAATAAGGACTAAATACTTGATATAATGAAAGTTTCATTTACAAATTAATCCACAGATGGTCAATTGAGATGATAAAATTTTTGAGCTACTTGATAATTGAAATTTTATTGAAGTGAAGTTTAAATTGAAATAATACACGTGATTTGTAATCAATTGTATAGAAATACATCTTATGAATCATTCCACTCGTGTTTTAATTTATTTTTCAAAAATTTAAGTATGTTAAAACCCTTAACCTTATCTCCCTGTGAAATTTTTACACCCTCCATGGTCCTGATCAATTTAATGATAGTATGCAGATAAAAATTTAAATAAAATTGAGATTTACTTGCGTGTCAAAATCAATTAATGACAACACACATAAAAAATCAACGACACATTTACTTGGTTATGATTTCCGAGATCTAACGTATCAGAGTAAGTTTGCATTCACAAACAGGAGCCAACCAAGCAAAATTGGATCAAAATTCTGAATAGTGTAGCGATATTAGTGAAAGCATAAGCTTGGGATAGCTTTGCTTGCCCGCAGAGAGCAAGTAGTGTGTGTCTGTGTGTGTGAGAGAGAAAGAGATGGCCGGAAGAAACCATCTCCCACCAAATGCCCTAAAACTCCGAGAAATGTCCTTCTCAAGGGCATCCCACCACGGCCACCCTGTCCTAATCGAAGACCCTCGCGCCATCCATCGCCTCCAAATCCATCCCCACGAGTCGCGGCCCCACCCTGCCCTCGTCGAAGAGCGCATCGCCGTGCAGCACCGTGACATCCAAACCCTCCTCGTCGACAATCAACGCCTCGCCGCCACCCACGTGGCTCTCAAGCAGGAGCTCGCCGTCGCTCAGCAGGAACTCCTCCACCTATCGGCCGCTACCGCGGAGGTCAAGGGTGACAGAGACGCTCAGGTGCGGGAGGTCTACGAACGATCGCTGAAGATGGAGGCTGAGGTCCGTTCGATCGATGCACTCACTCCGGAGCTGGCTCAGGTCAGGGCGGATGTACAGAAGTTGACTGCGTCGCGGCAAGAGCTTGCCGCGAAGTTTCAAGCGATTGACGGTGATCTCGTTAGGGTTCGCTCGGACTTGCAGCAATTGCCGGCGATCAAATCAGAGATAGAGGCAATGCACCAGGAACTCCAAAGAGGAAGGTGAGAGACCATTCCCATTCATTATATGCATATCTATCTATCTACATATGTTTATATTATATATATTTATATATATCTTCATCCTTGAATTTTTTATTATTTTTTTGTGAAGAATAATGCACTTCGGTATTGAAGGTGTTCAAATTAATTATAAGCATGTTTAATTGTACTCTAAAATAGATTAATTTCAATTGATTTTGCTATGGCATTTGAAACCTACCCGAAAAAAGAAGGTACGGTCTTAGACCGAAGAGACACACACGAAAAGAGGAAAAGGAAGGCACATCTATCTACAAGAATAGAGTTTCCACATAAGCTCGAAATTTTGAAAATTTGAATACTTAATGGTAGTAATGAAATCGATCTGATATCATTTTTTGTACTGTTTCCATTTTATCAGGTGGGTATGTAAGGTCTATGCTACTACCAAAGACACTTTTTGATGGCAAAGTGTAATTGAAAATTTATTTTGTTTCTTTCTCATTGCTACAATGATATATTGATCATGTCACTACGATTCTCTCTTTGTTTCTTCTCATATACAGCAGAGACTTGTAGTCTTCTTATATATTTCAATTTTGCATCTTTGTTTCTTCTCATATGTAGCAGAGACTTGTAGTCTTCTTATATATTTCAATTTTGCATCTTTGTTTCTTCTCATATGTAGCAGAGACTTATAGTCTTCTTGTATATTTCAATTTTGCATCCCTAAGGACTAACTGCATGATATAGATGGTGCATGAAGCACAATGGAAAGTAATTTGATCAATTGGTTTAGTGAGCTATCTAGCATCTGTCCTTATATACCAAATATGAATGTTGGTGAGTCGCACAAGGCCAGTGATCTAAGCCTAGAGGGGGTGAATAGCTCTCGTAGGTTGGATTACCGAATTTTAACGACTTTTTGAATTCAAAGTAAAATGATAAAAAATCAAATTAAATTTAAAGGATAAAAGTAAAAGTATTCAATTCATAGTATACAATAAACAGGTAAAGCAAAAAAATAATGGGTATAGAGAACTAGGAAAAAAGAAATTAATGGGTATACAGATTGAAGGGATGGGTTCGTAACAGAACACAATAAGTGATAATATATGGGTATTTCATAATCCAAGTAGAGGGACTCACAGAGTGATTATGGGAGAAGGAGGAGAAGCAGACCAACCAAAAAGATTGATGGGTGAAGGTAGGAACGTTTGTGCCAATGACAGAGAATAAATGGACTATAATTTTGGTGATTCTTGGTTGCTTAAGTCTAGGCCTTTAATGCTCCACCATGCCTGTATTTATTGTCCTAGGTCTTCTGGGTAATACCCAAAGGTTCAAGGTCCCGTTGGGTTTTACCTTGCACCTAGGACCTTAGGTCATGATTAAACTAGGTATGCTTTCCCTACATAAGGGGTCAAGTCTTTCCTTCTATCCACTCCAGTGTGGCAACGACTCATTAAATGGTTAATGCGGGCATTAAATTCATTCCGCTACTTGACAGCGATGGTAGTTGAACATTAATGGTCTAGACGCAACATTAATTGTGATTGTAAGGGTTTTTGTAACGACACGTGTTTGCCTTTGTTTTGGTTAACCCGAAATCCGAAAGATTTTGGGCATGTCTAACTTCTCATCTATCAATCCACAATACTTCTTAGTGTCCCAATGAGTAGATACAGATGTGCAAGGGATCCTACCTGTACTACCTCTACATCGTCAATCTTGCTTTGAGGGTCTATCTCTCGAGGGTAGATGTTCGAGTTTTGATCGACCTGAGAGGGTCCTCAGGATATTCGGTATTCGAGAACCTGTCCATGGGATTTACCTGACCCGAGAATGCTCTCAAGGTCTTGAGGATTGTTTCTCGATATTTCTTTGACCTCCGAGGGTTCCAAGGTTTTCCTAACTTTGTGGACTGCTGCTCAAGGTTTGGTTGACCAGAGAGGGTCTCAGGGTTTCCATGACTCTGCTTAAGGTTTGGTTGACATGAGGCTATGAGAGGGTCTTAGGGTTTGTTTTCATGACTCAAGAACTGCTCCTCGAGGTTAGGTTGACCTGAGATAGTGTCAGGGTTTTCGGAATTGAGGATTGCTCCACGAGGTTTGGTTGACCTGAGATGGTCTCAGGATTTTCGAAACTCAGGGACTGCTCCCCAAGGTTTGGTTGACTTGAGAGGGTCCAAGGGTTTTCGGGACTCGAGGATTACTGCTTGAGGTTGACCTGAGGTAGTCTCAGGGTTTGATTTGCTATCTTTGGCAGACGTGGCATTTGCTCTTTGTTTGACTTCTCTTTTGCTTGCTTTTTTATCTCACTAGGCAGCCCACAGAGATTTTTTATGTGGAAACGCCAAAGCAAAAAATCCACGGGACCTAGTACTGGCAAATAAAATACACTATGAGAAGAAAGTTTACAACCTTACAGTTTCCTAAATCTTAGAAAATCCTAGTTACATCCTTAACACTAATTAACGCCAAACTTTCCACTAAGAGTCTACAGGTCATCCATTCCCTTATCAACAGACTTTGCTCCTCACCAATTTGCTTCTCCTCCAGTGATTTAGTCTCAGCCACTAGTTGTTCACTTGAATTTTTGATGATGGATTGAATATAATGTTGAACTCATTAATATTTTTATGCAATGATAGATGTCAACACACAGAATCAGACTCACCAATTTTAAGCATGATGAATACAAAAACAAAAATATTGATGCAACTCTAGAACTCACAATATAGCACTCTCTGTGTATTATATATATATATATATATATATATATATATATATATATATATATATATTGTTATTATTCTGCCCAAGCATGGTATATATATAGGCATAAGAATTATAGAGAGAATAGGGTTGGTAGATTTTTAATTCAACATTGAAAATTGCTTTTTCATACAGTTTGATTAATCGAAAAACACGTCGTCCAATCAACACAACTCCAGTGGCCCTTTCGATCGAAGTTTGCCAAAGTTATAAACTTTAGAAAATTATAGACAAGAAGTTTTCAAAAACTCTTTTATGCATGTTTTAAAAAGATTTAGGGAATCAAATAAGATCAAAGCAAGTAGAACCCTAATTTTGGCGTATGTATCAATGTGTTAAATTATCTTTTTACCTTGTATAAGAAGCTTCAAGTTCCTTCTTCAACCAAGTTTTAGAGGTAATATCTAACACTAACTAAAATTTGAAATTTCTAATCTAAACTGTAGTTTTGTTCTACGAAATTTGCCAACCTAAGTCCTATCGACCTAACAGTTGGTAACAATGATTAGTTTCCACGTATTCTTAATAAGCAATTCACAGGTGTGTCATGGCACAGTCGGAAAGTTTTAGAAGTACAGGGCGGCCTAAAAGACATGGATGAAAACCATGATACTAGATCAAAGTCTAATAAAGTAGCAAAAATATGACTTTTGACAAAGTGATCTATGGAACAAGATCAGCACAATTGGATATGTTGAATTATATGTATTGGTTCATTACGTATCATTTTCGTTATTGAACTATTTTATTTATGGTGTTGGTACATACTTCTCTACCTATCACATTTAAAGTTTCTTTGATTTTTTTTTTGGTAAGGACTGTTTTATGTTATAGATTTTATGTAATTAGTGTCTTCAAGAATTCGCATTCCTTTTAACACTTTCTACCCTCTAGCAGTTATTTTACCGGAGAAAGTTTATATATTTCATTGTTTGCGTCCCTCTTCTGACTGTACATATGAACAGGGCTGCTGTTGAGTATGAAAAACAGACACATGCTAGTAACCTTGAACAAGGTCAGGCAATGGAGAAAAGTATGATTTCCATGGCTCGTGAAATTGAGAAACTAAGGGCTGAGCTTGCTAATGCAGAAAAGAGAGCAAGGGCAGCTGCTGCGGCAGCTGCAGCAGCAACTCCAAGTAATTTATCTCCAATGCTTTCCTGGTTGTTATGTACCTATGCTTGTTTTGTAGTAATCTTCAGTATGAGCAAAATTCAAGTTTTTTTACTCTTCCAAACAGTAAACTGTGATAATTGTTCATATTCAGGTCCTGGATATGCTGCAGGGTATGGGAATCCTGAGATGGTGTACGGTGGAAGTTCTTATCCTGATCCTTATACCATGCATCAGGTATGTGCTAACTAAATTTCTAAAATTTGATATAACTGAATAGGCTGAATGTGGTGCTAGGTCTTATAAGAAGATGATATGCTAGCGTATTTTTTCAGTTATTAGTGTCTTCTTATTTTTAGAAATTTTTAGGGTTTTAAGAATAAAATTTAGGCCTTATATTATTATTAAGGTAGGGAGGCCTGGAGGGTTAATTATAGAGTGTACTTAGTTGTTGTTAGGGTTTTGTAAGGCAACAGGCCTTGAGGGAGGAATTAGGCTTCAACATGGTACGATATTGGATGAATCTTTGTGTGTGTGTTTGTGTGTGATGATATCTCTCCTCTTGTATTTGAGAGGCATGGAAGTCACTTTTATGCCCTCCTCTCTTCTCTTCCCACTCTTCTCCTCTTCTTATCTTGTGAATGAGAGCTTCGGACGGTAAGATGCACCCTCCCTCTATATTCTTCCTTCTGTCTTTCTCCTTTTCTCCACTCCTTTTTTAATTATTTTTTTATATATATATTTCATTTTAAATGGAAAAAATCATACTTTACTTACCCACCATATGTTTCAGGAAATTCGCATGAGAGTCAGATTTACATTGATCTAATAATGACCTTGCTAATTGTTTGAAGAAATTTGTTGTAAGAATTCAAAAGTAGTTTCAAGATTAGCAATTGCATCTGGTTTTTGATTTACTGTGAGTGCACTAGTTTCCGAGATGAAGGAATTAATAAATAAATTTTTTCAGTTCTAAATACTCTTGTGGATTTTTATGAAGATATGAAAATAGAACTTAAGGTAAGAAGGGATTCATGCGGGTTTCAAAAGATGATGTTTTGTCATTTGTCGATGAGTTAATTGATATATTTTAAGTTATTAGTCCTATTACTATCAGGTCTTTCTCTCTTTCTCTCTCTCTCTATATATATATAGATATATGTATTTATTATGGGAGGCGATATTCGCACTCCACTTTTCTCCACTTGCATTACACTTGTTTTTTTCTTCTAAATAAAATGACAAAGAGGTCCATAAACTCATTAATGCACCATTTCTTATTTTAAAATACCATAACTACCCTATATACTACTAGTATAAATTTTAACATTTTTACCTCATTTTTTTTTTCTTTTTTTTTTGGGATCATATCAAAAGAGATAATTTATTCAACAGAGATAAGTTAATTTTTTGGGAAGTTATCTCTGCTAAAAACTTATCTCTTTTGATAGGATCAAAAAAAAAAAAAGTACCACGTACTAAAGAAAATAAATAAAGTTAAAATTTATAGTATATAGGGTAGTTATGGTATTTCAAAATAAGAGAGTGCATTAATGAATTTAGGGACCGTTTTGTTATTTTATTTAGAAGAAAAAAATAAGTGTAGTGCAAGTGGAGTGCGAATATCACTTCCCTTTATTTTCATTTTACTATTTGTTTTAGAAACAACTTTGAATTATGTTAGGTTACCATGACAGTTAGGATTAGTTTATGGAGGTATCTTTGAGTTTTTAGGTTTTATGGAGTACACCCATTGATGTAAAATGAGATTAGCCCAAGATATTAATAAATTTTAAGAAATTAGATATTTTGCAGAGCTTTAGGCTCTGTCTTCTTTCCCCTCCCCATCTCACTCTATCTATATAGCTTCTCGCTTTTCTCGCTCTTATACTCTTCTAAACTAGAGGATTGAAAGGTGCTATGGAGCACCATCCTATCTTCTTTCTTTTATCTCCCCTCCTCATCTTCTTTCTTCTTTCTCAGCATGATTTATCATCCTCCACAGTTTTGAAAAAATAGTTAGTTCATGAAACTGTAAGTAATTCAAGTAGAGTTAGTTCATGATATTATAAATAAGCATACACAGCATCTTCTCATAAACTGCTCTTTACTATTACATAAAAGTAATTGATTTTCTCTTTCTTTCTGTGATTTTCTTCTCTTCACTCTTGATCATCTCAGTCTTGGTCACCTCTATTTTCCTATAATTTTCAAGCTCATTTCACAAATATTTATATCTGCATGCATGCACAATTAATTAATTAATTAATTAGAGTTTGATGTATTTCTATTGTGTGTTTAATTGATTTCTTTATATCTTAAAACATTCTCACATTTATAATCACTTAAATCTCTTTTAAAGTTGCTATATATATAAACATTTTTTCACTATATTCAAAACCCTAGAAGCCCTGCATTTGCATGCAGATTATTATTATTATTTTTTTTTTTCTAGTTGGTACTCACACACACACGTCTCTTCTGAGCCTTGAACCCTGGACCTCCCTTTAGAAAGTAAGAGGCTGGTACCGTTAGGCCACTGGCCGTTGGTGCATGCAGATTATTTCTTGACTATTTTCTGTTGATTGAAGAAATTTTTAATCTTTCCCTTTTTCCAATCAAAATGTTTAGCTTTCCGAGCCAACGTGTGTTTGGACTCCCTCCGCAAGGTCCATTCACCGAATCACTGGCATCTTCCCGGCCCACCTAACCGGTATATTCAACGAATCCGTCTACGAAATGGACGAATTCCGAATGTACGGTTACAAGATCAAGCCGTGCTCAAGAATTCGTAACGGTTAGGTGGGCCGAAAAACTTCTTTTAGTAGTTTTGATTTTTCTTTCTTTTTGTAAAAAAGGTTTTTGATAACATTGTTTCGTCAAGAGTGTTTCTCATAGTGTTTTCATTTCTTCCCAATGGACACAACAATTTTTAGAAACATATTTTATCACACTCTCCCAAAAAAGAAAAAAAAAATTCTAACTTTGTTTAAGGATATAAACTTAACCACCATTAACACTAAAGTAAGAAAATATAAATATTTCAAAACCAAATCTCCAATTAAGTTTTAAATTTTACATTGTTAGAGAGGCTTATTTGTGAAAGTTTCAATTTTTGCATTTTAATTTTTCAGAAGGAATGTACACTTTTTTTAAACATTTCAAAAAAATAAATAAATAAAATAAAATATTAAATGGGCCATAAAAAAGACCCATTCTAATTTTTTGCATATCACCCTGGCCCCTTGTACTAATTTTTTTTTAGCATGTAACCTCCTTATACTATCAACTGTTTTTTATTTGACTCCCTTCTATTTTCAAGTAGCTAGTATAGAACTGTTAGACCAAACATGTGCTTGTACATTTTTAGAAATCTCAAAATAACATCTCCCTCTCGGATTAGGATCCTGAGTTATCTGCCCTCTATATTATCGTAAGTTGAATACTAAGCGTCTGATATGTAGCTTTTAACACAATTTACGAATGGTAATGGACCACATCATTGATTAATGAAAAGGTTTGAAACAATCGCTGTTACCAGTTCATCTTGAATCCTACATCCATGTAAAATGCCATTTGTGAAGCTCTCATAAATCAACTTACAATAACGTGCAGGGTAGTTAACTTAGAAGATTCTTGTCTTTCTCCAAACCTGCACGAAATTCTCTCCTCTCTCTATATATATTTTTATCAGCTCTCTATCTGTATACATAAAAGTTCCATATATATATATATATATCACTCCTTGTTCTCTCTCATTTCACACACACATATCAAGCTACAAACTATTATCTGGGCACAGGAGTTGGCGAGTTGCAATGGTAGCTTTGTTTGCGACATTTTAATAGTTCACGGGGCAAATAGTTTTTAAGGGGAAAAACAATATAGTTTAGAAATGTTTTTTTACAATTAATTCTTTCAAGTTATTAAAATATTATAATGTAATTAGGAATAAAATTATCATGTTTATATTATGAACTTAAAGGAATAAAATTATCATGTTTATATTATGAACTTAAAGGCATGGTAACTTCTCTTGTTTACATCATTTTAATAGTTGACGATGGACACATAAAGAATTTGGAAGATTACACACATCAACAACCTGTGGGTGTGGTTCATGAAGTAACAACACCTAGGACTGTATTCCATGTGACATGAACTTACGGAATACATGACATGACCCATCCAACATAAGTGGCTATAGAGATCTATCTTGACCTTTAAGGGTCTGATAAATATGTCAGCTTTATAGCTGTGGTTGATGGTTACCATTGATGATCAAATTCAATACCCAAACATTTCTTCAACTCCTGTTCTTTGATTGTGTTTTTAACTTTCCTATAATTTATAAACTGAGCAAGTCTTCAAAGCTTTGCAGTCCTCCATGAATTTTTTTTTTGTAGCATGTCACCTAATGCCAGCAAAACTTGTCAAATCTAGGATTTGTTGGTGATAAGCTTCCCTAGAATTTCAGAAAGACGTGCATCTTGGATTTTTAGCGAATTTGGGGTCATCTAATATATTAAGCTTCAATTGTAGGATCTGCATTATTTGATAACTAGTAATATTTAAAGCTACTCCATTAACTTATCATTTTCGATACTAGGGATCAAAAATACAAAAAAATGAAAAATAGATAACGATATTACTGGTAGGATTGGGGCAGGATGGACAAAATGGAGACAGGCTAATGATATCCTATGTGAAAAATATCAAACACGTAAAAAGGAAAAATTTATAACATGGTCATTAGGATGACTATTTTATACAACAACCAGTGTTGGGCCTTCGAAAAAGAAACAAGAACAACGTATTCATATAACTGATATGAGGATGTTGAGGTGGATGATAGGAGTGACTAGAAAAGATAGATTTACTAATCCAAGTGTAAAGGAGATATTAGGAATAGTGACAAATTGATAGAAAATTGACTTCGGTGGGTAGACAGAGAACGTAGACCCATTGATGTGCCCATAAGAAAGGGAATATTAGTTTGCATAGAAGATAAGAGACGAGGCCGACCAAAACTAGCATGAAATGAAGTTATTAAAATTGACTTTGAAAAGTTAAATATTAGACGAGACGTGTATAGTAAAACAGAATAGAGAAGATAATTCATGTGGCCAATCCCATTTGTTTGGGAAAAAAGCAAGGATGATGATGATTAATTCACCTAGTTCTACATAAGATACTGTTAGCATGATTGTAGCACTTTGGATTTTGAGAGAGATGTTAGCACGAGGTTTGGAATTCATTCTAAATTTTGTACACAGGAGTTTTAATTAGGGGCCTCCAAGAGTTATGCTGACAATATATCATATGAGCAGTAGTGCATCTGAAAAAACTGAGATAATTGCAGATGATTAATGTTGCAAGGGTCTGGAAACATAACCCACAACTTGATTTTCTAGTCCTTAGCTTTCAGTGTCTCAACTAAACTTTATCAGAATTTGGTAGTTGACAGTACTTTCCCGTCAGCTATCAGCTAACTCTTGTTATGGTCTGTCTCCCTCTACAATTAATTGAAGAAACAAAACTTATACTAGTACCGCACAAACGCAGGATGTTTCAAGAAACCAACAGCAACAACATTAACATCAGAGTCACTAATCAGTCAGCTCTTGTTTTAGGGTAATTTCTTCTATTAATTTATATTTACTAACCATAAGTAATAATCAGTGCTGGCTTGTTTTAACTTCTAAATTGAGTCAGATCTCTTTCTATTTATTCCCAGACCATAATATTTCGAGTTCAGAGGTGAAAATGGCACCCAATGTGGTGGATTTTTTTTTTTTTTTTTTTTTTTTTTTTTTTTCGGGTCAAGTGATTTACAACACTAAAAAACACCGTATGTGAAATTTGCACCAGAAGCCACGAAATTTATGCCATTCCCCATTCTTATATCTCATTTTTCATTTTTTAGCGACACTAACCAAGAAAAAGAAAAAGAGTAGATGAAGAACTTGTAGCAGACTTTGTTGCATTATCCGGACATTTTCCCAAAAAGATATGAGGTTCTAGAGTAAATATCTTATTATTGTATTGTCTTATTTCAGGTGCAGGGTGGTGTTGATGCAGGTTCGCAATATGGTTCTGGAACGATGGTTTATGACATGCAACGAAACCATTTGCACAGATAGGCTCTACTTGAATGAATTCAAGCTCATATTTTCTTTTGATAGCTGGAGTGCTGAAGCAGCCAACCTCTAAATTAAGTTATAAGGATAATACCCCAAGGCAAGAAATCTTTTTTCTTTTTTTTGCATTGCCTGGTTTTCCACCATCCTCACTGGCCAGTAGATAAACTATGAGGTTAGTGCATGAGTGAAAACCGAGCTGGTACCATGGCTTTGCCTATGCTTCTAAATCTGTTCGCCATTTAGTGTATTTGCATTAACCCCCCTTTTCAATACATTTTTGCTCTGACAAAGTTGTTGTTTGTCCTACATGAGTCCTCATTTCTTTGATTTTGTTTTCAATTGTCGCTGAATTTTCTGTGTGTTTGGTCACCTCAAGTTTGTTATACAAAGTTATTTATGGAATTGCAAATAATGTGGAACCTGTGGTGTTTCGCAATCATCCGGTTTCCAAGGTTTTTTTCTGTTTTTGGAAGTTAAACACATACATTTGGTAGTGTGGACTTTCAGAAGAACAATATTATACAAGTCGAAATACATAGCATGAGCCAACTCTTACAAGGAAGTCGGGGGATCTACAGACCCTGTCAGTCGGTGACCTACGAGTTAGGTGTGACAAGTCGGAATTATAATAACGCCGGGTTCACTGAATATCAGTTACTTTATTTTTTTCTCTGATTTATAACATTTTTAAATCATTTCTAATAATTTCGTTTCATGTTAATTTTGAACATCCTCTCTGCCTCCTATCCATCTTTTTTTCTTTTTTTCCTTTTTTCTCACCGTTAGATGTCCATATTACACAAGGCTAATCTCTAATCTTGTCACTAGTAGATGCGATCTTTTTGACTCATTGAATCATCCATCTTTAACATCTTCATTTCCAAGAATGAATTTTCCGCTACATGAATTCTTTGCCCTTCTTTTTTAAAGCCCAGCACTTGCTCTACATTTTTGCTCTAGATTCTTTTTTAACACTCAACGCCATATAAAATGGTATGATTTAACAACTGTTCCATAAGAATTTCCTTTTACTTTATGTATTATAGCTTGTCTCTATTTTATCTTAACGTGTTATATCTTATCAGTCATATCAAACCCAGCAAGGGTAATTTATCATAGCAAACTTTTAGATAATAAAAAATAAAAAAAATACACATTTCAGTAAAAAATTGTGTATGTGTGTGTGTTTTGTGTTTGGTTAAAAAGTGTTTTCTAAATATTCATTTTTAAAATAAAAGAATAAACTACACAGATCTCCTGTAATTTATCATAATTACATGGACCTTCCCTATATTTTTCAAAATTACTCTAACCTCTCTTACAAAGCAAACCTTATCACACATACCTTCCCAAGACGGTCAAATAGACTAATGGATTTAAATATTTTTTAATGACATGAAATGAATGTACTACCAATATCATGAGAAATTACCATATCACCAACTTTTGGAGGGAAACTAGGGAAAAAGAAGGGAACCTTTCATTTTCACATTGCCAAGTTAGGGATTCTGAACATGACAATTAGACATCATGAACCTTTCATTTTTCATTTGCCGAATACGATGAAGAGATCTGTATATATATGTATGATTGAGACATCATCGTGTGAAGCACCAAATGAAATATGATGTTCTTAAAAATAAATGACAACTAAATATTTGTATTAAACAACTTTATGCTTCAGGTGGAGTATAAATGACTATTGAATTCAACAAAGAGCAAAGTGTTTGAATTTATACTTATAATACTATTTATGCAGGGTCGTAGTCTAGCTTGGGTTCTCTATTTTAAATTGTTAACGTCCAATGGAAGATCTGCTCTTTTACCCTCGAAATTTTCACTCATTTTTAAATTCTTGAAAGTGTTTTTCAAATTATAATTGTACACTGATTTAATTTGTGTTGATTGAATTATCAATCAACACTAAAAAATCAAAACTAACTGTTTATAAAACTAGACCATTCAATTTTGAATTCAAGCTCCAAATGAATTTAAACTTGATCTAAAACAAAAACATGATTCTTTATATATCAATTCCATATTATTGGAATTTCAAATCAGTTCCAATTTTGGGCAACTGTAAGCACGCACCCAACCTGAGTGTAAATATTAATTAGAAAGGAGACATCTTTTAAACCCTGAAGCACTAGTCCGAAGGGGTTATAATCTTTTAAACCCTATTACTGTTCTGCCGAAGATGTAAGCCAGAGAGATTTTAACAACCAACATTTGAAACCACATCCATAGAATGGACTGTCTTACAAAACTATTTCATGTGGTTCAGCAAAAATAATAATAATAATAATAATAACTAAATAAATAAGAAAGAGAAAACCACTTAAGAGTCTTGACGTCCTATAGGAAATAAGAACGAAACCAATCAGAATCGAAGACCCTAAGCAAAATAGAGAGAGTTTGGAGGGAGACGACAAGGGACCACCATGCAAAATTGTCTATAAGATTCGTCGATGCTGATGCAAGGAAGCACATAACAGAGAATCATTGTAATGGTGGAAGCCTCCAAATATCACAAAGAACTAGCAGGTGGTCACTGCAAGTTCCGTTACAAATCAACACAACGAAATAGCTCCACAGCAGAAAGGCAGGCAACATTCATGGAGATAGATCGTCTGCTCCCTTCCGTAGCTTGCTGGCTCAGTGTTATAATTGTTCAATAGTCGCAAAAACATTTAAAGGTACTCATACTATCCAAGGTAATCTTAACGACATTTGCTGTTCTATGCAATCATAATGTATCTTGTTCTCTCCATAATACTAATTGTTACTTTTTATATCTCAAATAACAAGTTCGAGATGAAAAGATAGAGAAGGGTACTTGATGTACAGGGGAGAAAATATTCGGAAATTTACCTCACATGAAAAATGAGGGAGAGGAAGAGAGAGGGAGGGGGGCACAGGGCATTGGTCCAGGTGGTATAACAAAAGGGAGGTTGGTTCGAGCCCAATGGGCATTTGTGATGGGAGTGTCCATGAGTATTTACCCAAGTGAAAATTAGAAAGGGCACAATTTCCCTCTACATAGGGAAAGTAACTGAAACCTTGAACCGAACTTGAAGAATCTGGCAAATCTCTATTCTATATACGGTATTTGTGTAAAATGTTATTTGGCCACCAAAAAGAAAAGAAAAAGAAAAAATATCAAGAGTCAGCTGCCTTACTTAAGTTAAAGGGGTTTGGTGGGAGGAAGGATCCACATTTATGGAATGGCCAGAGTCGGAGATGAGATTAAGATATATAACAAAAGACCTCAGAAGGAAGAGACTGCATAACAGGACAATTCATGATCCATGCAATCACTCCTTCACATCTATACACATGAAGAGGCAAGAATTTAGATAACATGCAAATCAAACCCATAAAATCCGCCACTCAACATGTCAAATATCATAAATGTGTGATTTTGAAATAGCAACACTCACCTGAAAATTTCAACCTACCTTAGCAGCAATTTGGAGAATATCCGCTTTGCCTCTATAAAAAACATTCACACGGTTTAAATCAATCCCAAGCTTAAAGATAAAACTCCCTCCACGTAGCGGAAGACAATATAGAGAAAAGGGGTACTGCTCTGAGTGAGTGAACAACCTACCTCCAGTTTGAGAATAAACCCGCCAATGGAATATATTAAATCCTTCCAAACACAGTTTTTAGTACATAAGTGCTCAGTTGAAGTTCAGTATGGGCGCGAACGGTTTCCACCGTGGTAATTTCTATCTGGACCGCCATCTCTGTAGTTGTCTCTGCGTCTGTCTCCACCACCCCCATAACCACCTCTACCACCTCCCCTGTTGCACGAACAAGTAGCCAATAAAACAGTAGCTAAAAAGCATTAAAGCCGGATATATATACATCTTCTAATTTATACATAGACTACTAACTTGTTCCACACGCCAGTGAAGCTTGTGACCACACACTACCCAAACAAGTGAAATCTCATAGTGCTGTCTTTCACTTTCTTAAGAGGTATTTATAGTGCATTTAAATTAAAGAAAAGAAAATGATAGCATTAAGCAGTACAAAAAAGAGAGGAAAAAAATAAAAGAAAAATAGTATCAATCATTGTACTTGTGTGGATACGAGGAAAAGAAACAAAAAGATGGTGATTTCCCTTCATATCTTGTTTTATAATATAATGGAGAAAAAGAGAGAGAGAGAGAGAGAATGAATGTTTAAGCAAGTGGAAAAGGTTAAAAGACAAACTTAAGTACTGCTCGATAAAAGTGCTGAAATTTTTAAGAGCTAAATTTTAAGTGATAGCTATTAATTGAGATTTTTTTTTTTAAATTTGGCTGTTGATAAGTGAAATTACACGAATGGCTATTTAGTCTCATACCAACATCTTCGTTCGTGTTTCCCAAAAGTATGAGCCTGCAATGTTAGTTATCTCATTCTGTAGAAAGAAGTTTTTGCTAAGGCCGAAAGCCTTCCAAAAAGTATATTGGTTAGTTGGTGAGAGTGTCAACCAGCACAACTAGTGAATTTTATTGGTGACCGTACTAAAAATCTATCCTGCCTTTGTCTAGGTTGGGCTCAATGACAGAACTGTTACCCATACCTCATACCCACCGCAATTTAAATTCCTTAAAAAAAAAAAAAAGGTGATAGTGAACCACCTAAACCAAAAAGATATGAACTTAGAGGAACATAAAGACCCACCTATAACAATACAAAATAAATGGACTGAAACCAAAATGATAAGAACTTAGAGGAACATAAAGACCCACCTATAACAATACAAAATACATGGACTGAAACCACCATATACAAACCCAAATGCAGCCCATGTAATATAAAGTACAATTATACAAGTAAAACATTCAACATGTATTGCTTCTAAAATACCGAAAAGAGGTAATGATACTACATAAAATTTGGACGATCCATCAAAAAACATGATGTCCATATGCTTCAAGCTAGCCAAATCTATTTATGAGAAATCCTTAAGCAATGGTTACTTTGGCAGTTTGCAATCAAAGTTGGCAATAAAAATTAGAAAAGTGACCTAAGGTATAAAGTAAGTGCGCGCAGGACACACTTCAGAAACATAGGGATCAGCAGCATACACAGTGGAAATACAATAAATACACAACTCACCAAATAACATCCTAAAATTCATCCAATCAAAAGTATGATCTACATTGCATGACTGAAGAAGAGAAAAGTGATTGCAGAAATCCTGATTTCTCCAAACGTCAGTGAACTTTGAAAATACAGCACAAGTAACTATTCAACAGCTCATCATACAGGGACGGAGGCAGCTAAGGCCCACAAGAGGCAGCTCCCCCCCCACCCAAAACGTCAGTGAACTTTGAAAATACAGCACAAGTAACTATTCAACAGCTCATCATACAGGGACGGAGGCAGCTAAGGCCCACAAGAGGCAGCTCCCCCCCCCCCCCCCCCCCCCCCCCCCAAAAAAAACAAAATTTTTCCATTTTATTTTATATTATCACAAAATGCCATATGTATTTTTTTGTAATATCAAAAAAATGCCCTCCTCGGTTTTGTTATTAGTCTTTTGTGTGTATTTATGTGCATATACAAGCCAAGGGTTGAGCCCCCTCTGAACCCAAATCCTGGCTCTGCCCCTGCCAACATTTAAAAGAATAAATATACAAATACAATACAGAAGGAAGGTAGGATGGCTTACCCGGGGCCATATGCTGGAGGGGCCTTTGGAGCAGACTTTGCGGCCATTGCAACACTGATTTTGTAACCCCTCATGTCATAATCTGATGAGATTTCAATGTAGGTATTTAAGAAAAAATAACATAATAGTTTCCACTAAAATAAGAAAAAAATTCCCAAATCCATTAGTATAGAACATTTTCTTTTCCAAGTGAAAGTATATGAAAGAGTAAAAGGTGATTTTGCTGTAGTGGAATGAGAAACATTGAAGACATTTCAAGAGAAATAAATGATTCAGTAAGTTGATCAAATAATATTACTATGGTTTGAAAGAAAGTAACAGTATCTCTACTCTGACACACAGTGAAAGTGTGTTGAATCAAGAGAAACGTAACATACGGTTAAAAAAGGCACCAGCAGAATGTGCTGCAGATGGATCTTCATAAGACAAAACTGCATCCCCTTTGTTGTTTCCTTGCTCATCTGTATAAATTTTTATATTCCAGGGCCATTGGTCCTTATAGCCCCGCTTTTGCTTGATTCTTCCAACCTAAATAATAAAAATTGCATTAGTGTCCCAATAAAACAACATTAATAAATGAGAGGAAAAAATGGGTCAGCTTGCACTTGTTGCTTAGCATCTCTCATTCGTACATAACAAATGGAATGAAATTCCACAACCACCCCCTTTTCTTCATCGGCTATTCATAAAAAGATTAACAATTTCACTAATGGGGATAGCTGGATATGTTCAACTATGTTATTGAAACATAAATTTCTAATGCATAAAGTTTAAAAAGTCCAAAAGAAGAATATTGTGTCTTACTTGTCCAATGCCGCCAAAAAGTTCTCTTAATTCCTCAGAAGTTACATCTGGAGGCAAATTTGAGATATAAATTCTCGAGTTGTCACAGAACTCCCCGCAATTCTCATCACATTGCTTAACTGGAGCCTCAGCAGGAGCACCAGCATAACCATCTACCGGGTTACGTGGACCACCACCATACCCACTGTATCCACCAGGTGGGCCACCCCGACCACCACCTTGGGCATAACCCAACGCATCGCCACCGCCAACAGGGGCACCATATGATGGGGGATATGAAGTAGGTCCACCAGTATAGCTCGCAGGTGGGGGGACAGCATCTGTTCCATAATTAGGGTTCCCATTGTAAGTGTTTGGAGGTGGTGGGAATTTGCCACCTGACCCAACATAAGATGGAGGAACCTGATCATAACCAACACCATCCCTTCCTTGATTGCCACCATAAGAACCACCTCTACTACCTCCAACACTTCCACCGTCATAATTCCCACCTCTACCCCCTCGATTACCATCATATCGCCCACCACTTCCTCCTCTGTTATAGCCGCCACTGATGGCCCCGCGGTTGCCACCACTGGCAGGAGCTTGTGCACCACATTTGTTACACTCGACTCTTCTTGCGAAGTTCAGATTCCCACAGCTACATCCACATATAAGAGTTTCAAAAACATATATCTACACAAGTAACAACCAAGAAAACACAAAATTACAACCTTTTTGTCTTTTGAAGTTTCGTTTGTATCAGCCAAAAACCTTAAATCAATTTTTTTGTGAAAAGTAATGGTACTTTATTTTAAAAACAAAAAAAACAAAAAACAATTTCCTCAAGATTCATGAAAAAATATACTTGGTGATAGTCGGAACCTCAAAGAAAACCTTTTTTTTCCTGGGAATTTCCTAGAAACCAATTTCCCACTCTCAAAACCGAACATGCAGGTGGGAGAAATTAATTTAACAAATTTGAAAATCAGCAGATCTCCAAAAGAAATAAGAAAAAAATGTTGTACCTAGGATTAGGGCAACGCCAATCACCTTCCTTGCCGCTTCCGCCACCACGGCCACCTCCTCCTCTACCACCACGATCTCCTCCTTGATACACACCTCCACCTCCGCCGCCACCTGCAATTACAAACGAATAAAGAGAAACATCATGCACAGCCACACACATGTAAGATATACAGAAATATATATACATATAAACCCTAAACCAATTAATCTACAACAATTCAAACAGAGGATGCAGAAAAGAGAACGAGAAAAATAAACATCTCGATTCTGTGAATTACCACCATATCCTCCACCTCGTCCACCACCTCTGCCACCTCGTCCACCACCTCTACCCCCACCTCCACCTCCCTCATAACCTCCACGGCCACCGCCACCATAACCTCCGGCACCATCACCACCGTAACCTCCACGGCCACTTCCTCCATGACCTCCAGCACCACCCCCGTATCCTCCGCCACCGCTACCTCCATATCCTCCGCCACCGCTACCTCCATATCCTCCGCCTCGACCACCATATCCTCCGCCGCCTCCGGCCGGCGGAGGAGCAAATTCGTCGCCTTCGTAACCGTACGCACCAGACATATTCTAGGGTTTCTTTTCCCACACAGCGAGAGGGGGCCGCTATATCGTATTAGCCGACGCCCAGACAAATTTATTTATTCAATTTTACAAATAAGCCCTCGGTTAAATAAAATATACTGATCTCCCCTAGTATTAGACTTAATTGCATGCTGCATAAAATAATGACCTTTATTATCCCGTGTACCCTCGCTGTTGCTTGTTGAGAGATTTATGACATGAAATGTCATTTTTGTCCTTATTTATGACATGAAATGTCATTTTTGTCCTTATATTTCAATACATTCTGAAAATATTCGATACAAAGGTTCTTTGTTTGGATGAAAAAAATTTTTTTTTTTTTTTTTTTAGTGTTTGGTTATTGAAAAATATTAAAACTTAACAAACATAATTTACTAATCAATTTTTAGCAAGTTAAATATATTACGGAAACAACCGGAGCCGAAATGTTTATTGTGTCAAGGATTGTCTCAACGATACTTTCTCCCTTTCCAAATAGAAAGTCTCACCCAGTTTTTAAATCCACAAAGGGAGTGTGAGAGTGATTTTTTACCAATAGAAAACAAATTTATTCATTTTGCCCACCTTTTATAAATAATAGTTGACTCTCCCTCTCTATTCTATTTCTCTCTTCTTACTCTTATTTCCTCCATGATCTCTAATTATTTTTTTGACAATACTTAAATCATCACTAGTGATGATTTACAATATACTCACTACTAATAAATTGACAAGTCTTATTTTAATTACCGAATCATGGATGATAATCAAATCACTATCTCTGATTTGGTAAGTGAATATCTATCACCATCTTTGATTTGGTAATTAAAAATCGTCTGTGAATTTATTATTGGTTCATGTGAGTCTATTATAAATTCTTGCTTACGATAATCTAAGAGCATTTCTAGCGGTATGTTAAAATTTTTTGTGTAAATATGATGTGTCAGAGTTGATTTACACAAAAAATTTGTACAAACTATTTTTAGCTCAAGCGGTTGTTTTATACCTTTTGTGTAAAAAAGTATCCCCACTAACAACCAACCACGTGTCATACCCAATGCCCTACGTAATTTTTACGAACCTACTTTATTCAGTTTACTTTTTGGCAATTAAATCTCACGTCTCAATCCTTCTTAGTTGGGAAAAAAATAACAATTTCCACCTATATTTCACTTTCTCATCCCGCCGATAGCAAACATTTCACGCCATTGCCACCAGAAACTTATACCAAATAATAAAAATAAGATTCAAGTATGTAGAAACTACATGATTAAAATATATATCTAATATTTGGCTATTAGATATTTATCTCATTATAATAGAATGTAAAAGAATAAAAAAATCTAAAAAAATCTTATAATCTACCGTATGATTGCAAAAGATAAAGATCAAACGAAAGTGATGAATCAAATTATGTTTATTAAAAATATATATATAAATAAATAAAATATGGTCGAGCAGTTTTTACCTTGCCACAAGTTACTGATTCTTTTCTATTGCATTATAGAAAAGTTATCAAACAAAGAGGCGTAAAGGAATGAGAGAGAATAAAGAGAACCGTGAGTGGGAAAGGGAGAGGAGAGAGAAAATATGTTTACATGGCAATGTAAAAGTGCTGTGTAAAATACACAACCCTTTTACACATTAGTGATATGGCAGTGTATCTTAACAGACTACTAAAGATAAAAAAAATTACAAATCATATGTGACCGTGTATATTTTACACAAAATGATTTTTAGCTCTAGCGGTCTGTTATTTATTTATTTATTTTTTGTGTAAATATGATGTGTCAGATTAGATTTACACAAAAATTTTGTATTAACTATTTTTAGCTCCAGCAGTTTGTTAATTTTTTTTTTTTTTGTATAAATATGATGTGTCATAGTAGATTTACACAAAAAATTTGTACTAACTATTTGTAGCTCCAGCGGTTATTTTATACCTTTTGTGTAAAAAATTATCCCACAATAACAATCAACTACGTGTTATACCCAAGGCCCTATATAATTTTTACAAACCTACTTTATTCAGTTTACTTTTTGGCGATTAAACCTCACATCCCAATCCTCCTCACTTAGGAAAAATATAATAATTTCCCCCTATATTTCACTTTCTCATCATGCTATCGCCATCGAAATTCTAACTTGTAACAAATAATAAAGTAAGATTCAAATATATAGAAAACTATATATCTAATCTTTGTCTAGTACGTATTTATCTCATTAGAATATAATGTAAAATGATAACAACCCTATAATCTACAGTATAATTACAGAATGTGATGAATTAAACTATATTTATTAAAAAATAAATAAATAAATAAAAGATAGTCGAGTAGTTACAGATTATTCACTCTAGAAAAGGGATGAGGGAGGGAAAGAGAATCGAGAGTGAAAAAGGGGAGGAGAGAGAAAATATGCTTACATAGCAATATAAAAATGCTGTGTAAAATACACAACCCTTTTACACATGTGCGATGTGGTAGTGTATCTTAACCAACTGCTGGAGATAAAAAAAATTAACAAATTATATGTGACAGTGTATATTTTACATAAAATGATTTTTTAACAAACTGCTAGAGATACTCTAAGTATTGTTCTCTTTTTCTTCTTCTTCCCTTTTTTTTTTTTCTTTCAAAATTCTCTTATATTTTTTTTCTTCTTCACTTATTTTTATTATTGTAATTGAATAGTTTTTTTTTTAAAAAAACAATGTAATGTAAATACCTTTTTAAAACATAATTCAAACTTTTTTTTATGAAATATGGTACACCAAATTAGTTGACGAATATATTGTTGTTTCGTAATAAATCACACCAAAAACAGAACAAAAAACAAACGTATCTTTGATATAAAATAAAGAGAAAATTAGATTTTGGTGATCAAATTCAAACAAAATTGATATATAGTGATCTTAAAGTTGATAAAAGATGAATAGTCACCAAATTTAAAAATTAATTGTTAGCAAGTGACTATTTGATGGTTTATTACTTAAATATCCTTCTTGTAATACATTATTTTTTAATTGAACAGATTTACCTTACACATTAAACATATTAAATTGTTAGTTAAATTATTACACATACACTGCTTTACCAAAATAATAGACTATTTTATTATATGGGTAGTTATATAATATACAGTACACACATATAGGTATAATTTGACAGGGGTGTGGTTTAGAAACTCAATGACATGTAAACTTCGAGTTGATAAATTCGTGTGTGATGGAATATAAACAAGTACGAGTAATATTTGTATTTACTTTTAGTTATGTATTATAGTGAAAAATAGATAAGGTAAGGTTATTAAAGAAACTTAACGTTTTAATCGGTAAGTTTGTAAACTAAAAAAGGAAAAAAAGAAGGTTGGTGAGAAAGAGAGGTGGATGAATAGAATGGCAATTTTACCATCTAAAAATTATTTTTGGAATGTGTAATAAACAAGTAAATATTTTGATCAAATTCTCCTTAAATGGTTACTCGTTAACAATTAAATTTTAAAATTAGTCACTATTCATCTTTTCTTGACTTTGGAGTCACTTTTGAACAAATTTATTTAAGTTTGGCCACTAAAATCTAATTTTTCCTAAAATAAAGAATGAAAATTATAACATCTTGCTAAAAAGACGTTAATGTCTGTATTTTATACTTTAAATTTTATTTTACAACATTTATTTTTTGAATTATTGAATACTATATAAATTTTGAATATTATGCTCTCATTATACTTTTATTTCTCAATTTATCGCCTTGCTGCACAGTTAATTTATCTTGTTTAATATGATGCTCTCTGAAATGAATTTATGGCTCCGTCTCCTTAGTCCTTTCCACCAACTATTGCCCCGTCCCTCCCACCATTTTGAGTGAAAATTGTTTGAATATTGTAGAAAATTGTACGTTCCCAAATTTTTTTTTTTTTTTTCTTTTTTTCCCGTGAAACAATGAGAATTTATGTTATTTTAAATGTGAAGAGCCTTTACTAATTGAATAAAACGGGAGCGAAAAACAAGTGTCATATTGATAAAACAAAAAAATGTAAAATATTTTTAGGCAACAAGTATATACAGAGTATTTGTTATTTTTATTTATGAAAAAAAGAAAAAAATAGATAGAGTATAGTATATATATATTAGAGGTGCACAAAAATTCGGTCAAACTGAAAATCCAAACCAGATCAAACCGGACTGGACAGTTTGGTTTGGTTTGATAATGGTTTAGTTCGGTCACGGTTCTAAATTTGTGAAACCTTAAAGATACAGTTTGAGGTCCTTTAGGACCGAACTAGACCGAACCAAACCGTTATGTTATGTTATGTTATGTTATATATATATATATTTATTTATAGAGTATATATAATATAATATAATATAATCTTACAATTCAAATTACTTAGAAGTTTGTAACAACTATCAATCATGGGTCCACTTTTAAATATCTTAGGTCTTATTAATTTATTAGATTTTTTTTTTTTCTTTTAGTTATCTTAAGTCTTATCAATTTATTAGATATTTTTTTTAGTGACTGAATTGAATTTTGACTGGTTGTTTCTTGTTGAATAACTAATTCTAAATGTATTGGGTTATTACTAATTATTAATTTATTTATTTTAGTTTTAGAAGTGATATAAAAGAATGAATTAAATATATTAATATATATTAATAGTTCTGAATTTGTTGATATGAATCTTTCCATAACCATAAAATAAAAAAAAAAACACAAAACGTGGAATCGAACGGAACCAAATCGATTAAATAATTTAGTTTGGTTTCAAATTTTATTAATACATTAGAAGTAGTTTGGTTTTAAAAAAACCCTTAAACTGTACGGTGACCACCTAGTACCGTGTGCACCCTAATATATATTTACGAGTAGTTTATTTTCAAAAGCATCTCTGCCAAATAAAACCAGTTTTTGGGTTTCTCAATCGGCTCAGTAGAGGCTAGAGATGATCACGGGTTGCTATTCTCTACTGAACTTGGACCACGAGTAAGCCACGCGCTTCCCTCAACTCGGTCAATCCCGTCCGTCCACGTGTCCCACAACCAACGGCCCAAACTACACCCAACCATCTCTATATATATCTCGGCTCTATATGCACCCATCACCTCCATTTCCGTATATCTCCGACTCTTTCGATTACCAAAACAAACAATGCTCCTCAGGTCTCCTTCCCCTTCCTTCTCTCCCTTAAACCTAGAGAGAGAAAACCACCACAGGCGGCTTCTATCTTCCTATGCTTCGGCATTCAATGGTTCGCAGAACTCGTATGGTTCGTTGGCTGTGCGATCGTCGACGACACAGAGGAATGTAGGTCACAGACTCGTGATTCACGCAAAGAAGGAAGTGAATAGTCGGCCATTTCTGGACATCGTGTTCGAGCCTTTCGAAGAAGTGAAGAAGGAGCTCCTCCTCGTTCCGACTGTTCCTCAAGCGTCGCTTGCTCGCCAAAAGTACTCCGATGAGGTCGAGGCGGCCATCAACGAACAGATCAAGTGCGTTCTGTTTTGCTCTCTCTCTATATATTTATGTATATATGCATGTGTTTATATGTCCATTTATGCTGGTTATTGAAAATGATATTTGTGTCTCTGTTTTGGAGAGCGACTAGAGCTAGCTTATTTGTGATTCCGTATTTTTTTGTTCCTTCCGTTTGGCTGATGAGAAAATTGCGATTTTTTTTTTTTTTTTTTTTTTTTTTTTTTTTTTTTTCTATATTTGTGTCATTTATGCTGGTTATTGAAAATGATATTTGTATATTTGTGTCTCTGCCCGCAAGAAATTTTTTTATCTGTACAGCAAGTGTTAATAAATGATTTTGTATTCCTTCCCTTTGGTTGATGATAAAATGAAAATACAAGTAACAAACTTCTTACATTGTTTATGCTTTTTTGTAAATGGAAAAATTAATTCAAATACGCAATTATTTTTGGTAGGCTGAGATGGCTACAGTTTTCGGCTTTATACATCATCATCCTTGCCTTTATCCTACAGAGATGGGGCTCTTTTTCCATTCCTTCTATTATACACCATGTCTGTAGTTTGCTATGACACCAAGGTATACTAATCAACCTAGAATCAAGGTGGTTGATTTATATCTTTACAAATGTCCACTCTTAAATATAGATTTTTCAAATAATTATTAATTATTTCATCCCATGTGAGTTTTGGTCGGCCTCTTTGTCGCTTACCTTCTATACAAACCACTCTTCCTCTTTTTATAAGTGCATGACCTACATTGGATATGGTCATACCACCTATGTCTACTTTCCTTAATTTTATCATTTATAAATGTTATACCTAGTGTTCCCCTCACTCGTTTCCTATCATCCAACGTAGCATTCTCATTCCTGCTACATGAATGCGTTGTATTTGTGTGTCTTTCTCAATGCCGAACACTCCCGCTTCCTACAACATTGCCACCTGGTAACCGTTCTATGGAATTTTCCTTTTAGCTTATTTGGTACTCATTTGTCACAAAGGATACCACTATGTCACGGGCTTAGAGTTTCAGCACCGCTCTAGCTGCTCCCGTGCGGCACCAAGACGTTGCTTTCACTCTCGCAAGTACTTGGTCAGCCTAACTCCCGTGCACACCTTAGCCAACACACTCCCCTCGTGCGCTTACTAGTGTTGTAGTTGCCCTTGCCCTCTCCTCACTTGGCTTGCACACTCACACACACTAAGGCACTTAAGTTGGCAAGGAAAGAACACTTCTATTACTTCAAAGAATACTTTGTACAAGGCTAACACTCAAGCTCTCTACAAGGCTCTCAAGACTCACTCTAGGACTTGTTGTTTGCAAAATGAAGTCCTACTCCTATTTATAGGCATCCCCATCCCTAATGGATGGCTAGGATGCATTCTAACCAACGGTGGAGATTGATTATCTAGAATCTTCTTCCACCTTCTACACATCTCCATACATATCTACAACATTCTAGAACCCTCCATACTACTCCACACAATTCTGGAGAATTCTAGAACCTTCCACACACTTCTATACTACACATATCTAGAATCTTCCACACAACTCTAGACTACTCCGGAAGACTCTAGAAACTCCACTTGCCATGCAGTTGCCATGCAGCGTCCTCCTTAGCGTCTGCGTGTCACCTGCGTGGTACAACCTCCATAGGCGGGGCGTGACATTCTCCCCCACCCATTTCCGTGACGCCCTCGTCACGGTTTCTTCAACTGACCCAGCCTCTTGCAGGTCATCAGCACTTGCGCATATGTCCTTGGCCCAAACGTACGAGCGCCCTTCGGGAGATGTGAAGTCCTCACGAGCTCCATCGTGTTGACTGCCACCTCTGGACTCTCCTTCCTGCCCACGAGCGGCACCATGTATGCGGCCTTGCCTTCCTCGCCTCCAAGTATCATCAACGCACCAAGGCATGGTAGTGGCGCGGCGTTGTTCCTGTCCATGAACTCCAGCCCCAGCACCATGTCATGGTCGTCCATCTCCGCAACTTGGAAGTCGGCCTTGCCCTTCCATCCTTGCAAGCATAGCTCCACCTCTTTGCACACTCTACTCACGCGTGCCTCCTCGGAGTTGACGGCCTTGATCCATCCCTCCGTCTTGCGCATCTCCAAGCCAAGTCGTTGCGCCTCCTCTGGGGTAATGAAGTTGTGTGTGGCGCCCGTGTCCACCAACGCTTGCACGGCTTTGCCACCAACCTGCGCATCCACATAGCGCACCCCAGCTACTTTCTTCGCCTTACCCTTTTTCTTGGTGTCATGCGCCATGCTACTCAGCATCTGCATAGCCCCCATGCACCTGTCTTCGTCGCTGCCCGTATCATCCACCTTGCCCTTACCCTTATCGTTCACAAGGGCGCTCATGGTCTTCTTGTTGGGGCAGTGTCGCAATATGTGCGGCCCTTCGCACAAGTAGCACTTCGGCTCCCACTTGCCCTTATCGCGGCGCTCCCATTTGCCACTAGCCTTGGACCTCTCTCCATGGTCCTTGCCCTTATCATGGCGTGGGCGTCTCTCCTCATCGCTGTGCTCATCATCACTAGACTTGGGCGAGCCCCGTTTCTTGAAGCGTCGGTCTCCCCCACCTTTGCCGTGGTCCCTCCTGGGAGACGTGGCCCTCTTGTCATCGCGCCTAAAGTCTTCGAGGCGCTCCGCTATAGCCATTGCGGATGCCAAGTCTCTAGGCTCCCTCCTCCTTAGCTCCGTGGCCACCCAAGACTGCAGCCCATCTATGAACAAGCACACGCGTTGCCGCTCCGGCATTTCTGGGATCTCCAGCATCAAATTGGAGTACTCCTTCACATACTCCCTTATGCTGCCCTTCTGCTTCAAGCGCCTTAGGTTGATCATGGCCAGGTCCTCAACGCACTCAGGGTAGAACTGCCTCTTGAGTTGCCTCTTGAACTCCTCCCATGTGTCAACTGCTCTTGCGCCTCTACCAGTGAAGCGCTGCCTCCACCATAGAGCGGCGGTGTCTGTGAGGTACATAGTGCCTGTCTGCACCTTCTCCTCATCATCCTCGATCTCCATGCACTCGAAGTACCGCTCCATGTGCCAAAAGAAGTTGTCAATCTGGCGCGCATTCCTTGCCCCATCGTACTCCTTGGGCTCCGGCGCCTTCTTCTTCCTTGGCTTCACCACGACCTCGCGCGCCTGGGAGAACTCCTTCTTGCACTCGGCAATCTCCACGCGCAAGTCGTCTACCAAATCATGCAAGTCCCTTTCTTTCTCTTGCGCCTTGTTGGCGATGCCATCAATCAGCTCGTAGAGCTCCGCCATCCTTCTCTCGAGCCTATTAAACTTGGTCTCCGTGTAGACCAAGTGTGTGGCAAGCTTCTCCTCCACGCTCTGCTCTAAGATGTGGACTTGGTGGTCTCCTCCGCTAGCCATGTCTACTCCAACAAAGCTCCCTTGACGAACCTGCTCTGATACCAACTGTCACGGGCTTAGAGTTTCAGCACCACTCTAGCTGCTCCCGTGCGGCACCAAGACGTTGCTTTCACTCTCGCAAGTACTTGGTCAGCCTAACTCCCGTGCACACCTTAGCCAACACACTCCCCTCGTGCGCTTACTAGTGTTGTAGTTGCCCTCGCCCTCTCCTCACTTGGCTTGCACACTCACACACACTAAGGCACTTAAGTTGGCAAGGAAAGAACACTTCTATTACTCCAAAGAATGCTTTGTACAAGGCTCAACACACTCACACACACTAAGGCACTTAAGTTGGCAAGGAAAGAACACTTCTATTACTCCAAAGAATGCTTTGTACAAGGCTCAAGCCTTGTACAAAGCATTCTTTGGAGTAATAGAAGTGTTCTTTCCTTGCCAACTTAAGTGCCTTAGTGTGTGTGAGTGTGCAAGCCAAGTGAGGAGAGGGCGAGGGCAACTACAACACTAGTAAGCGCACGAGGGGAGTGTGTTGGCTAAGGTGTGCACGGGAGTTAGGCTGACCAAGTACTTGCGAGAGTGAAAGCAACGTCTTGGTGCCGCACGGGAGCAGCTAGAGTGGTGCTGAAACTCTAAGCCCGTGACAACTAGCTTGCCTCCATTTTACCCATTTGGCTCCAATCGGATTTACTACATCACCATCTATCTCCCCATCTTGTTGTAGTATTGATCCTAGGTACCGGAAATAGTTCTTTTGAGTGATTATTTGGTCTTGAAGTATGATATTTATATTGTCATCGATTTCTACTTCATCAAATTTACATGCCATATATTCCGTTTTAGTTTTATTAATTCTTAGGCCCCATGACTCTAATGCTTTTCATCGTGTTTCTAATTTTGTTGCTAAGGCTTCCTTAGATTTATGTATTAGGACTATGTCATCCGCAAATAACATACACCATCACCATGGGATGTTTTCTTGAATATCTTTCGTTTTTTCGGCTAATATTATCGCAAATAAGCATATGGACTCAACACCAATCCTTGGTGCAGTGTCCCACCTTTATAGAGAAATCACTAGTTTTCCCGTATATAGTGTTAACTCTGGTCAAGTTCTCACTATACATGTCTTGAATAGATTTATAAGTTTTATAGGTACTTGTTTTCTTTTGTAGAGCCCACCAAATTTTGTCCCTTGGCACTCTATCATATGCCTTCTCCAAATGTATGAAAAACCATATGCAAGTCTTTTTGCTTGCCCCTATGCTCTCCTATTGGTTGTCTTGTCAAATATATGGCTTCTATAGTGGATCTACCCGGCACAAATCCGAATTGGTTATCGGATATTGATGTTTCTTTCCTTAGTCTTTGCCTGATTATTCTTTCCCATAATTTCATTGCGTGACTCATTAATTTAATTCCTTTATACTTTCCACAATTTTGTATATCACCTTTATTCTTATAGATTGGTACTATTGTGTTTTTCTTCCACTCACTTGGCATCATTTTTTTCTTCTCTTAAAATTTTGTTAAACAACTTTGTTAACCATACAATGCCTATCTTACCTAAAATTCTCCAAGCCCCTATAGGTATGTTATATGGTCCTACAGCTTTATCTGGTTCTGCTTTATTCATATCCAAAATACTGAAGAAAGTTAAGGTTTAAACTTCTACTTATTTTCTTTTGGCATGTTTTCGCAAAAAACAAAAAGATTCATGCTTGAAGCTCCCGGTGTTTTTTATGTGTTTCCATTTCCTCTATTTATTCCTTGTACAGATTCATTTTCTAGATATATTCAGTATTGATATGTTTATAGACACAATATTCTTCCATACTTGTTCTTAAGCAGTTTCTGTTTGCTCTTTTCTTAATGTAAAATTGACTTCTTGGGTTTTCTCTCACTCTTAATTATAGTGACATTACTTCCCCTATTCTTCATTCCCCGTAATGTTTATGTTTTCCATATATTTATAATCGTCTAATATCTCTATTTGATGAATGACAGTGTGGAATACAATGTCTCCTATGTGTATCACGCCATGTATGCCTACTTTGACAGGGACAATGTTGCTCTCAAAGGCCTTGCTAAGTAATATTTTGGATCCCAAAAGACCTATCATTTTTTGTTGGTGTGGTTATATATGTTTGTGCTGATTTGATTTGTTTGACTACAAATAGGTTTTTCAAGGAGTCTAGTCAGGAAGAAAGGCAGCATGCTGAGAAATTTATGGAATATCAGGTTTTTGCTACAATATGGTTTCTCTTTATATAAATATATATCCTCCTTTCTCAATAGTTTCAATCAGTTTCAGAGTTGGTAATTACTTGTGCATTTAATTTGTATTCTAATTTTTTTTAAAAACCTTTTTTGTCATTCAGAATAAAAGAGGAGGAAAAGTGAAGCTACAGTCTATGCTCATGCCCGTGTCTGACTTTGATCACATTGAGAAGGGAGATGCATTGTATGGTATGTTTGAGTAGCCACTTTATTGCTTTACAGATCAATGTACATGCCTTGCTGAAAAATTCTGTGCAATTACGATATGGTCATCACCCCCGTGGGTTTTTTTTTTTTTTTTAAAAAAAAAAAAAACCTTGGTGAACATGAAAATGTGTTTGTGGGACTTTGTACCTTCTTAAACGGCACACTTGTTCCAAGATGTTATACATATGCATTTGATGTCAACAGCATTGCATGTGTTATCAGGTATTCAGGTGTATTGCACTGAATCAACTGATGTATATATATAATGATATTTGCTCAAGTAGCAACCTCATTTGGCTCCTATTGTTTTGTCTGGGAGTTAACACAAGATGCATTTTTTCATTCGTGATTTCATGCGTGTCTATCATCTTACTTAATCGTTATGCCTATGAAGTGTTCAAAGTCTTATCTTTAACACAATGATCCCGTACTCGGGAGGAGAGTAAAAAGTCGAATCTTTATGTGCGTGTGTAAATATATATATAGTAGGATTTTAAATTTTCCCCATCCAATGCCACCCAATCAAATATGGCCCTAAGCTTTGTGCTTTACCTATCCTCTTATAGAAGCTGTAAAAGTAAAAAAAGACTTGAATTTTAAAAACATGGTCTGCTCATAGAACTGTCCAAGTTATCTAATATCAAAATTGCAACAGTATTAGCAATCCACACAAAGAAAGATCCTTTAAAGGCAATTTAAAGGATGACATAACTCCTTACTGAATGCTTCTATCAGGTATCCAGTCTAACACGGAGAAATTATACATACAAGATCTCATGAAAACATCCACAGAATCCAGCCTCAATTCTGAAGATCTCTAAAAACTACGGTACTTTGTTCTCCAAGAAAAAACCTGACATTAGCAGATACACGTGCCCTTCCCTTCAAGGCAGTTCTCAAATGATTCAGAAGTATAACCCCCAAGGGTACCTCTCCGCATATTGCGCCAAATCATACCCTATGGCAATCATTCGCTAACATTGCATTCTCTTTTGGTTTTTCTTTTTAAAGGGGCAAGTGTTAGTAATATAAATACCCGAGTTGCACTTCCTTTAAGAGTTTTAACTTTTAGAGCAGTTGATTGTTAGCATTTTATGGCAAATAGGTCCAATGTTATAATTCCTAACACCTTCCTTCCAATTAGTATTTATATTTCTCTCACTTATGAAGGAGAGTTTGACCACACACGAGGAGGTGTATTTTATGATATAATTATTTTAGCTATATATACTCTTATCAGTTTAAGCTTTCAGAGCAATTAGTCATTAACAATAAGTAAACATTGAATAAACACAGATGATACACATATTTGACTTTATGATTTTATAAATACATGTAAAAATGTAGTTAACGTTGTTCTGCATTGATGAACATATTTACAATAATCTTGACTTCAGGTACGCACGTGTCTTACGTGTCTTGCACTTATATTAGATGACAGTAATAATAAATCAATGGAAAAATAAAGGTTCAAATCTTGTGAAAGTCTGTCTAAAGCACTTTGGTTTATTTCTCCAATCACTAAGAGAATAAGCTTGGCTTTGCTAGCGTTATTGATCTTTTTTGAAGTCATGTGTCTGTTTTATCATTGACATGGTACTAAAATTTTGCCATTTTTATCCAGCAATGGAACTTGTGTTGTCCCTGGAAAAGTTAACAAATGAGAAACTTCTGAATTTACATAAGGTAAAAAGCTTTATCTTCTCATTTTTAAGTCTTCCTTTTCCGTTTTCCTTTTCACCGTGGAGGATATGTGTACTTTTTTTCTTTTTTTTTTTAATTGGTTATTCTGTGTCTCAAACACCATGTTTTCTTTAACCAATATGTTTTAAGCTGGTATTATGGATACACCATTTGCATACTGGCAATGTTCTTCTAATATATTATCTTTCTTGAATATATTACAGATAGCTGATCAGAACAACGATGTGCAGCTAGTTGATTTTATTGAGAGCGAGTTCTTGGTAGAGCAGGTGGAGAACTGCTCTCTCTCTCTCCCCCCTAAATTTTCCTCTCTTTTTTTTTTTTTATTTTTATAATTTTCCTTTTGTACGTTTTCTTAATAATTTTATTCAAACCTAAATATTTGTAAGTGGGACTTCAGAGATTTCTCGTGGAAGAATCCAAGCAAATGATTTGGGTAATTTGTTCCTTCGCAGCTAATTTTTTTTTCCTGGATTTAGGTTGAAGCCATCAAGAAGATATCAGAATATGTTGCTCAGCTGCGAAGGGTTGGCAAAGGCCATGGTAATTCTTCATCCCCTTGCCATCCAATTTACTTCATCCTATTTTCCTTGGCATTAATTTTCATCAATCCTTAATACACCGGTAAATTCTTTCGTTCATATTTTGACAACTCATCTTCTTGACACTAAAGTTTGCTTTGCGTTTGTCAATTTGCAGGTGCCTGGCACTTCGACCAGATGCTCCTTAATGATGTGGTTGCTGCATGATTTAGAAATCCAGGCATTGTTCGTTCGATATGTTTTCAAAAATGAGTTTCATGGATTAGTTAGTTGGCAAAACTTTGCTCCATCCTTGCAATCATTTTTAAGGTTGGAGCATTATAGTTCTTTGTTTGAGTGAAGTATTTTGATGTTAGACGGTTATTGGCTGGCTTGTTTTTCGCCAAGAAGCTGAGCAAAATTCATGAGACTGTTTTAGCAAACTAATTATCTATGAAAAAGTTTCTGCTGTGTGCTCTTGTGCTTGGAAATCAAATCACGTGTATTAATTGTTTGCGTGCTCCTATTATATCTGAAGCAGACTTAGCAAGATGAGATCATATGCCATGAGAAGGTAAATCGTGAGACATGAGAACACCCAGCACCCAGCGAACTTTGTTAGGTAAGCCGTACAGGAAGCACTGTACCGTTGGAGCTAGTAATCAGCAACTGCTGATGAGGAATCATAATGTCCACAACATTCAATAGATTGGTGCAGTTCAAGCAATTGCGCTGTTTAATACAACAAAATACATCGGTCTCTAGCAAAAACTTTTTGTTGTGTGTTTTTTTGTTTGCCTTTTTCTTTCCCCTTATCTTTTTATTGAAGAAAATGAGACTGAACAATGGGGGCCAAAAGGCACACAAGCAGAAAAATTAGTGAAACAACACAACCAACTCTAAAGAAAAGCAAACACCGTAAGAGGGATAGCAGCAAGCAAAAGCCTGAGGTCAGCTGCAGAGAAGCAGATGGCTAGTCAGGACGCTTCCTAGGAGGCCTGATCTCACTGTGCTGGGAAGGGACCATAAAGCTGCAATGATTCTACTGGCTTTGCAATCTTTGAAGGATACAAAGCTAAGCTTGAGTCGAATCTGATTCATGATATCCTTGATCAGAACCTGAGGGGTCGTCGATTTGTTTCTAAAAGTTCTATTATTCCTCTCCCTCCAAATGCCATACACAACCTGTAAAAGCAAGCTTATTGGAGAGAAATCTAGGACTACCATCCCAGTTTGAAGAAAGCCAAAGAATGAGGTTCTTCCGGTTTGGGAAGGGGGTGAAAGCTGCAGTGAGCTAAAAAGTGTTTCCAAATCTGACTATAGAAGGTGCATTGAAAGAAGAGGTGAAAGTGACTTCCCCAGTCAGAAAGGTAACGGGTGCAAGCATTAGGAATGCAATGAGGGTGGCAAGTTTTTCTTGGACAACCATCCAAAGCATAAAGTTCTGCTTTGGGATGCATGGTTTGAACTGGACTATGTCTCCAATGGGTGTCAGGAGGTTCAGATGGATTGGAGAGTATGGGAAAGGGAGATGGTACCCGGTGAATAGAGTCTTCACTGGGAAGATTGAATGGAGGCATAGTTGAATGGTCTTTGAGTTCAGGGATTAGCCTAGCTAGACTGTTTGGGATGGGCATTGTCCATTCTAAATGATGGAGCTGACCATGTTGAACCTACCAGTAGAGGTAGTAGAGGTGGTCAAGGCTAAAGGTCTGAGTTGATGCGAGTGGTCAACCAAAAAGATGTCTTCTCCCCATTGCCCAACTTGTGAGAGAGGAGAGGCCTTGCAAGGGTTCTCATTTGAAGGAGCTTTCTCCATGTCTAAGAACAGGAAGCTGGACATATGATTTTCCAAGTGGCAAGAATCATTGAGAAGATGACCTGTATGTGGTCAACAGGCCTTTAAAACCCCCCTAAAGGCAATCTAGGCAAACCTTTTTGATGCTTACTCTTACTTTTGTTTTCCCTTTGCCTATCATGAAGAAATCCATAATAGGGCCAGCTGAATTAACATTAAAGCTAGAAGAATGGCTTTTATAAGCTTCAATGGTGTCTTCCTCCACCTCTATCTCATTCCTGCCATTTGAAGTTTTATAAGGAGATGATGGCACCTCTAGCTGTTCAGTTTGCTACAAGCAGTAAACTTTTTTTCCTGCTACAAGCGAGGATGCGCTTGGATATGAGCAAGATTCTCTACCAACATATCGACCCACAAGCAACTGTTGCATTTTGGCCTATGCCAAACTTCCAAGCAAGATTCTCTACCAACATATCGACCCACAAGCAACTGTTGCATTTTGGCCTATGCCAAACTTACCCGCCATCTGAGTAAAGGACTAATACACTTACCAGAACTGTGATTCACAATTTTATGAATCAATATTCCCAAAGTGGACATTTATTTTGGGACAGAAGGAGTAGCAGATTGTTCCCAATGAATTTTCAGGACTTACAAAGGCTTTACCAGAAAGCTTCAGATTTGAGAACAACTCAACCATTTCCAACATCATTATCAGCACAAGGGAGAAGAAATGACAGAATCCTAAATGTGGCCCCTATGAACACATTAACGATCTAATCATAAGATCAGATAGGTTATAAACCTAAGCCAATTCTAAAACTGATGGTACTAACACGTCAAATGAAGCACCCAGGGAAAAAAATGTCAAATGAAGCTGAAAGAGATGTAAAGCTAAGGACAACGACGTCCAAATAGCAGCAAATAAAACACCACCAGAAAAAAAATTACAGGTATTTGGATACCAGTGTTAAACATCGTGAGCACCTTCTCCCATAATACCAAAATGCTAAAGGACATAAAAATGGTGGATGCTCTTGATGCTATATGGCCACATAAGAGAACTATAAGTATTCATTATTGGCTGATGCCATTGGATATATAGAGATGATCCACCTGTTTAATGCTGGAAATGCAATGCACTTGCACAGGGTTTAACATCACCAAATAGAACAAAAGTTTCTAAATTCGAAAATTGTCTCAATCCAACAATGAATGCATTATCTTTAACCTAGTAATGCAAGTACTTGAATAAAGTAATGCAAGTACTTGAATAGTCAGTGATGGGACGGAAAAAGAGAACAGTACCATAAGCCAAAATCAAAACATGAACCTTTGAGCAAAAGCAAACAAACAGAAGGGTCAAAATGTAAAAACTGATCCCATCATAGTAACTCACATCAAACTATAACAGAAAGATGGACACATGCCACATAACAATCAAGCAGTTGTAGCTGCTTGGGCTGCAAGTCTCTTCCGTGCCTCCTCAATAATAGTCAACTTGATGCCTTTTCCCTTGGGCAGAGAGATCCATGGCCTCGTGCCTTTGCCAATCGTGAAAACATTTCCCAAACGGGTAGCAAACTCATGACCAGTGGCATCCTGGACGTGGATGGTCTCAAAGCTCCCCTTATGTTTCTCCCTGTTCTTGATGACCCCAACTCGTCCCCTGTTCCTTCCGCCTGTCACCATGACAATATTCCCAACATCAAATTTAATGAAATCAGTAATCTTGTTGGTCTCCAAGTCCAATTTGATGGTATCGTTGGCTTTAATGAGAGGATCTGGGTAGCGGATGGTTCGTCCATCATAAGTGTTGATGTATGGAATTCCTTTCTGTCCAAACTGCACAGAGCGTACCTTGCAGAGCTTAAACTGCAAGAGGAGATACACAATGAATCAGATACAATCAACTAAAAACTATGAAATTCCAAATGTTGCAAATGTTGGAACCCAACGAAGAAAGTGTTCACATAATTCAGATCCACAAGTCCCACCATTCCATTGACTAAATAAAAAAGGGGGTCATGCCATTAAACAGCCATTTTGTTTTAATGTTTATTTTCTCATTTGAGTGTAATATCATATTTTGAACTGTACAAAACGTAACTAGAATAACATAACTGTAATCAGTTACTTAAATTATTTGTCATAACCAGATCCGCATAACAATCCTGCTGGTGCATTTTGCTAAATTACACATGCTGTAACAATCTGCTCTAAAAATATGATGTCATCCAAAAACAAACTTCAAAAAGAAATATTTTACTACTGTAGAAAGGTATGTTATCTCCTTGGAATAAAAGAACAAACAAGCAGAAGTAAGTACAAAACACAGACTAACCTTAGCCTCTTCATCCCTTATTGAGTGGAGGCGAAATCGACCCTTTGTATCATAAAGAAGACGGAAATTATCATTTGCTTTTGGAATTGATACAACATCTTGAAATTGAGAGGACAACGCAAAAATATTAGTACATTATTCATAATTCAACCAGATTTACTTCACAGAAGAGAGATTGTAATTTATATGTGCACAAAATATAGTCGAATCATGTGTGCATACCCATGAAGCCTGCGGGGTAGGTCTTATCTGTCCTAACCTTGGAATCAACCAGAACATGCCGTTGCATCAAAATGGCAACGACCTCACGATATGTGAGAGCATACTTTCGTCTGTTCCGCAGGATAAGGATCAAAGGCAAGCATTCCCTGGATTTATGAGGTCCAGATGATGGCTTGGGGGCCTGCGCAAAAGAAATAGAAAATAAAAACAATTAAATAGGAAAATGCATAAGTACTTCGCAATAAATAACAAATGACGCCATGTGGCATGCTTTACTTACAAATGCTCCACCAAGTTTGTCAAGCATCCAATGCTTTGGGGCATTCAGCCTCTTCAAATGTTTTTTCAACCCACGTGCCTGTTTATCATCAAATATAGTATTTATCAACAACATAATAACCAAGGCAGGAAAAAATGCACATAACATTATAATTATATATTTTGGTGAGCAATTGAAGTTATAGTAAACTATACAAAGATAACAGCATGGCTTACATCACAGGGAAAAAAAGAAAAACAGATAAATAATAAACAATCTACCGAGTAAATTATATTGCCTCCAACCACTGACTCGGTAAACAAACCTGTAAGATGGGTCCTTTGTCAAAACTTCATGTAGTCCACCCATTTTCTTCAAGCACAGCTTTATGAGATTTAACTGGTCCAGTCATATTACAAATCAACTACCCCCATTAACCCAACATCAAATGAAATTCAATTTGAAATATGTGCCCTTTTGTGACTTCAGTTTTCCATTTCATGAAGAAAAAAAGATGAGCATTTTTTGTAAGGCTACATGAACCACACTTAAGGAAAACCTACCATGTCTTTAGTTGGTTCATCCACCAAATCATTAAAAGTAAAATGAAAAAAAGAAGAACGTTTCTTTGGTTCTCCAAATACACAGATACAGCAGCACATTTTTCACTCATAAAATTCAGTGTTTCCTTTGATATATTTATTTCAATGACACATTTTCAGTTTAATACAGTCACAATATCACTATCAACAGTGCAATGAAACATCAACCAGATAAAAAACAGAAGTTCAATAGAATCCTGATCAATCAAAACGTTGATCACAGACACATCAAACTAACCCAAAGGGCAATGAAACAGTTCAATTGCAGAATTTCGTTGTATCAATCACCATTAAACAACTAACAAGCATTGTAATTAATAAGAAACCCCAACACTTGAAATTCACAAATGTTTGAAGACTTAAAATTCACAAATGTTTGAAGTACCAACTGCAGATGTATGGCAGATATACATTATAATATAATGAAATCTATAGATATTAAATCCCTTAAATAATATAAGTCATTCAAAAACAAAGTTTTCACAAAATAATCAAATATATGAGTGAAATCATTACAATAAAATTTTTTAGCATCGAATGCGAAAAAAAATAAAACAAACCATGTTGTTTTCCGAGAGAAAGTAGTGGCCCTAGGTGTCGCCGCCACCGGCGATGCTGGTCCTCTGCTATTTACCTAGAGAGTGAGACGAATGGGCGACAACCGCTAAAACCCTAGATCAGTTATGTAGCATATAGTAGTAACTACATTTACCTCCCTTTTAGTTAGAGTTTATTACACTTATCATCCATGTATTTTAAGTAATTACATTTACCTCCTTTTTAAGCTGCGTGGACACATGTAATTGTTTCACTAAAGTGAGAGATGGCCAAACACTACTGTGGCAAAATTTTTAACTTCATATGACAAATATGGCATTAAAATTGTTGTAAAGACACTTTTATCTGATATTTATTGTGCGAATAAACAATTATACCCCAATTGACTACATTTCAGTTCATTTATTTTTATTTAGTTAGGGGTATAATTGTCTTTTTGTACAACAAAAAATGAAAAATATATATTCACTTCAATTTAATGAGCATATTTGTTATATGAAGGTAAAAAAAATTGACACATCAATGTTGATCATTACTGAAATTGATTACAAGGGTCTAATTGTTAATTTGTTACACGCATGTAATTAAAAGAAAGGTAATTACAATTATTCAAAACTTTTTTTTAATTTATATATTCAAAACACACGAGTGACAACTTATAAGTATAATAAACAGCTAAGAAAAAAACTATATATTTTGAATAGACTAATGTAATATGTAAGTATTCACCTAAAGACAAATTAAATTTTTTATAATAGAAAATTAATATTTCACCATTGAACAATGTACTAGTACTACATTGTTGATACATTGGGATACTCAATAATTTATCATAAGGTGTGATGCAATGTGATTCCATTGGGTCCTAAATAACTTAACTTTGATTTTTTTGTAAAAAGCTATTCGATAAAAAAAATTAGATTTTTTTTTAATTAATTGGGCATTGTAGTCGTTTGTACGCGTATGTTGTACACACATCCGAGTTTGTATAACACGAATAATTGTGACGTGTTTGGTGCACGATGTTCCGAGCACACAGAATACCTACTCATTTAGGTGGGATATGAATGAATTTACTAACTCAAGTAACTCGAACACCATCAAAAGAAAAGAAGAACGAAAAAATGCAAGCATGGACAAGATAATTAGATTTAAATTTTAGAGTAGAAATTTATTTTGGATGTAATTTAGACAAATATTTTATTAACTTGAAATAAAAGAAAACTTTATAATTTTTATACAAACTTAGATGGGATGGTGAGTCTTGACATATTAATAAAGTTGTTCTATTATAACTCGAATATCACAAATTAGTATCTTTGTAAAGTTGTGTACGTCTTATCATCTCCAAATCATCTAATACTAGTAAGTGAGTTTCCTACATTGGGCTATCTCTCTCTCTCTCTCTTCTTCCTATTCTTCTTCAATTCTTCTTTCATTTTTATTTTATTTTTATTACAGTATTAAGCTTACATATGATTTATATGAAACAAATTTAAAGTTGGATAAAAAATATTTTCCCCAATGAAGTTGGATAACTATCATTTGGTAGCACAATATTATTGGAAATCAATACTAACTTGTGACATAATAATTGTTTTAAAGGTTAGAAGTAAAATTATAATAAATGATAGTATTAAATAATCTTTAAAAAAATATATAAATAATATAAAATTTTGACTCATTTTGAAATTCTAATACGAAATAGAATTGTGATTGCACAAATTTCAATAGTTTTCTTCTCCATCAAGTATATATTATTTTATTATTTGATGCATTTATTTTAGGCACTAATTTAATAGTTTTCTTCCCCAGAAGGTATATATTATTTTCTTATTTGATGCATATACTTTATGGAGTATACACACACACATAAATGACTTCTTGCACAAAAAATTTATCTTGGTAATAATTATTGGATATAATTACTATATATTTTTTCATAATTATTACTACATGTTTTTATTTATTTATTTATTTTTATGTATATGTAACATATTATTTCTAAATATAAATAAATAATATATATATATATATATATATATATATATATATATATATATATATACACAGTAGTGTTCAATTACTCCCTGGTGAGCAGAAAAAAGTATATTCACTTTCAATTATAGCCTTATGATCTAATCTAAGGTTAATATATACCTTGCACTATTTTAGTAGACTCGTATTATTTAAATTAGTAATTAATTACAATTGAAGTAAAATGACTATCGTAACCAGTTTCATAAGAGGAAATAAATTAATTTTGTTTTATATAACTTTTTAAGATTTGGTTGATTAAGCGTGAATGGAAGAATATTCTTTTCATCGAAATCATACATGGAAACTTTTTTTTTTGAAGACAAAAAGTTAAGGAAGAATATAACAAGAAATTTATTTATTTATTTATTATTATTATTTTTTAATCTTATTTTCCCCATCAATTTTATATGTCTTCATATTCTGCCCAAAAAAATAAAAATTCTTGTTATATATTCTTCCTTAACTTATTATTTAAAAAAAACAAATGCATGTGGTGCTAATTAGGTAACAAATTCTTGAAGATGTATTTAATTGGTAAAGAAAAATAAGATTAGTTAAAAAAAAAAAAGAAAAAAGAAAGAAGACTTTTTCTTGTTATACTTTTACTAAATACCAAATCTTAAAAAGTTATGTCAAACAAAACTGATTTTTTTCTTTTTATGAAACGGTCTATTATAGTAATTTTCCTCTAATTATAATTAATTACTAATTTAAATAATATAAACTTTCCTAAAATAATGAAAGAATTATATTAGCCATAAGATTAAATCCTATTACTATAATTAAAAATGAGCATACTTTTTTCTACTCACAGGTGCGTGTGTGTAGGGTAAAGTGCATTAAACTTTCCTGAACTATAAGACATTTGCACAAAACCCCCCTAAATTAAAAAGAGCACCTTAACTATTAGAAAGTTGCAGTTGAGGACAACGCGTGAGGTGTCCGGTACCAGAAACAGAAGATTACAAAATTACCCATAATGAAACTGCACCGTTTTGATGCTTTATAAACTCGTGTTGCTGCTGCGTCATATAAAATTTCAATAACCAATCAAAATTGGACAGCACACCACTTACCCTACCTCATTTTAGCACCCGTTCCCATAATCTCACCTCATTCTAGCACCACTAAACACCACCTCTGCAATAGACATACAAAGGTCACATAGCACCAACGGCGAAGCAACGATGAGGACGACGACACCAAACACGCGACCTGGAACAATCACATAACACCAGCGACGAAGCAGCGATGAGGACGACAACACCTCTTCTTCAACACCATTCCTCACCGCACTGTCAATGACAACCTTAACAACTCTGATTCATCTTCCTCGACCGTTTCTTCATCGTTGGTCCATGTCCGCCACTAACCCTTTCTCTCCCACAAAGATTCTTCTTCCCCCAACCACCTCCACTGTTCACGGCCGCCACCCCCGTCTCCGATCCACCTCCCTCTCTTTTATTCTTTCTCCCTGATCCGCATCCAACTCCGGTCATATCCTATCCTATTTTTCTTGATTTGTTGCTAGCTCGTGCCGGAAGCGAAAATTCTACTTCTTCCGCAACCATTCGACTCTTCTCCACATTTCAAAATTGTTCCAATTCTAGTTGTTTGATTCAGTTTTTTTTTGGTTGTTAAATTAGACTGTTTCTTTATGTTACAATTCTAGTAGTAGACGGTTTCTTTATGGGAGATGAACTGAAGAAATTTGAGCACGAGGAGAGATCAAGAAAGCTTGAACAATGCTCAACACCACCTTGGTTTCTATCATTGTAATTTAAGAAATTTCACCTATTGAACGAAAATTAGAGTTTGTTGATCACTTAAACTTCTTCGGTTAGTGAATCTTTAGTGCCTTGCATAGAATCAGACCTATCCATACATAGAGCGATAGAAGAAGGTTTGCAATAGAAAGGGTTAGGGTTCCAACGGGCAGCAAGTCTTGAATTGGGGATTTATGTTTTAAGGCATAATATATTATGACAGTCATAAGGGCAACTTCGCCATTTTCAAATTTATCACGTGATCAACACAGGCCTATTTAACGGTAAGAAATTGCCGGAATGCCACCGGTGAGTAATTTTTGCAAAAAATTTGATAGTCCGGGGGTTAATTATAAAGATAATAGTTTAGGAGAAATTTTAGGGAGGGAGAGTAAAATTTAAGGGGGTTTATTGTACTTTATCCATATATATATTACAACATTCAATTTACCCTCGGCCCCCTGCCGCTAAGCACAGTCGAGACCCATAATACATCCAAAGATTTCACCATGACCTCCTGACCAAGACATTCCTTTTCGTGCCTCAAACGAGCTCTCTAAAAGGCGCTTCAATGGCGGCGATTCACGACACTCGCTCACTGTCAGCAAAGCTTCATTTATAGGTTTTCTTGGATATTAGTTATTGTGTTGGTTCAATTCTATTCGGTTTTAAACCCACCATGAGTGCCAACTCTGGAACTGAATCCACCAACGGTTCTTCAAATCCCAATGAATCACAAAATCCTCCAATTCAGCCTCTCCGATTGCCCACTGTTGAGGAAATTCGGGGCCAAGACATTTGGAACAACTGTGCTGTTCGTAGCGTCGTGAGCGGTGCAATGGGTATGTGCAAAAACAAAGTTTTACACAGTTTTTTAATTCGAGGGTTGCAATTGATCTTGTATTGAAGTTAAGTGGCTTAGTTGTTGTTGTAAAATTTTTCTTTGCTTGGCTACTGAGAAAACTCATAATAGAAAATAAATAAATAAATAAATAAGCTGTCTTTCAGTCCTCTGCTTTTATGGGTTTCTGAATTTTGTGATTTCTATACTATGAAAATATCAAAAACTAAACCAATTGGTTGGATTAGGCCTAGTTTGTTCGCGAATCCCAATTTGTGGATTCTCTAAGCTGGAAGCTATCATAGTCTTCAATTTTCTTACACTTTCTAAGCAACCAAACGGAGCTGATTTTATTATTGAACAATTGGTTTTGGAGTACAGCAATTCATGGTTTGCTGTTGTTGTGGGCCTGTTTTTTCAGGAGGTGGGCTTGGATTGTTCATGGGTCTCTTTCTAGGGGCACTAGACAATCCATTAATGCAAGCGGAAATGACTGGCAGACAGCAGTTTATTTATACGGCAAAGCAGATGGGTAGTAGGAGCTGGAGTTCTTGCAAGACGTTTGCCGTTATGGGCTTCATTTTCTCAGCTACTGAATGTGTTGTTGAGAAGGTATAACAAATGATCTAAATGAGAATTTTATCTTATCTCCATTTTCTTCATTCTTTCTTTGATTGCAAAGAAATTATGCAAAAATAAAACTTCAATTGTTACAAGTAAATGCTGCTGTAAAATTATAGTAGTATTTATTTATTTGTTCTTTTGTTCATCTGACACTGTATGTTGCAATTAATCAAAGCATTTTCTTGATTCTTTGCATATGGATTAATTCTGGATTCGTTGCTTCAAGGCCCGGGCAAAACATGACATCACAAATACACTTGTTGCTGGATGTGTAACTGGAGGTGCCTTATCGGCAAGGGGTAATCTCTTCTCTATGTATATTGATTTATTTTCTTTCTAGAAAGTGCATCTAAGCCTGGAACATGTGGTTAGATAAAATAATCACTTAATGTGCACATAAGAACAAAACATTCTTGTGAAATTTTAGGATCTTTAATTATATCGACTGTACATGGTCAAAACTTTAGGTATTGCTTGCGCTTACATGGGATGGTCAGAAAGTATTTCGGAAAAACTTTATGTTTTTTTTTTTTGGTGGTTTAATATCAAGATCTTTAGCTTCACTTGACTGTCTTGTCAATTGTAATTTATGTCCTCCAATCCTCTTGAAGGTGATTCTAATTGTAATTTTTACCATCAAGTTTGCATATAGGTTATCTCCTCATATCATTGAACTAAATAGAAATCTTAATGACATATGGATAGTGACCTTTGAAATAATGACGCCCCTCTTCCTTGGACATTTGTTTGTGTGATAGTATACATGATGCTTCTCTAAATAAACAGGTGTTTTTTTTTTTTTTTTTTTTTTTTCTTTTTTTTTTTAATGATCACATCTACTTTCTTTTTCCCATGGATTCCTACCTTTGAATGCCATGCAATTTCTGAGCACTTCATAGAATTGCAAGGTTTTAGTTTTTAAGTAACAACAACAGCCGCTCTAAAGTAACATATGTGGGCTAAGGGAGCTTCAATTTATTTTTATCGTCCAAAGTGTCCTAAAATGTACTGATAGACATGCTTTAGACTCAAAATTCCATAAATTTTGGTTTTGGTAACATTTGATATATATATATATATATATATATATTTGCACTTATAAGGATGATTTAATATGTATAATGAATTTTGCATTGAATTTAAAGTTGTTTTCAACAATAAAGGCTTATAAAATTTTCTGTCTACTTTTATGACCACAATAATCTCTTTACTGACAGCAACAATCTCGTCAAATAACATCAAATAGAAAATGATTTAAAGATGTAATCTAAATGAAGTGAGAAATGACTTTAGATTTGTGGATTAAATGAAGTGTCTCAAACACTTGATTCAAGTTCTGACCTTAGGTTTCACGTATTATAAGTTTTGAAGTGTCTATCTACTTATAGAGAGTGTTTTTTAAAGAGAATAGGAACTAATTTTGTTGGAAAAATCATTGAAAATATGAAAAGGGGGTTTTATATTCACAGTTTGAATAATGGCTCTTCTAAGATAGTGGATGAGTGCTTATATTAGATCTGGTATTTGGCTTAACCCCTTCTCATTATATTAGTATGAGAAGGATCCCATTTTGTTTGGAAAAGGATACATCAGGTCCCCTTATGGTCATGTTATTTGGACGAAAGGTAATATTCAACTTGTTTGCAATACTATTTATCACATTAAAACTTTTGGCTTGAAGAGTTGGATTCTCCTCACTTTTGTTGTTGTCATCCTTATCCCTAGTGCTGAAGTTAGCTAAACAATTTATTTTTTTATTTTATTTTTTTCACTGGCAACTTGAAATTGGATCTGCAAATTAGGGTTCATGATTAGTATCAGTATGAGTTGTTACAAAGGGCTGAAATTGTTTTCTACTGCTCTGCTAGAAGTCTCTCGTATGTTTTCTACCATTTCATGTATAAGTGGTAGAATTTTGGTCCTTGCTCATGTTACATGTGTGCCGCGATTGCGGCCTCTCTGTTTTTTCTGCCAATAATATTATTCTTAAATCAATCTACTTTGTTTTTTTAGGTGGTCCTAAAGCAGCATGCTTTGGCTGTGCTGGTTTTGCTGCATTTTCAGTTCTGATAGAGAAGTTTTTAGAGAGACACGATTGAGCAAACCGATACCTGATTCAGTATTGCTGGCGCGTTAGTTTTTTGGGTCAGCCCTCTTTGGTTGCATAATTTATAGTAGTTTTTTAGTTTCCAATTGCTTGTCCAACTATTTTTGTCCCCTTTTATGATGGGAAGTATTACAGAATATTGAAGTCCTTTGATTTTGTACTATTTCCATTTCCTTTTACTCTCAGCTGAGGAAATTAAGTGGCTAATATCGGAAGCTTTTTGTTTTTATTATTTTATATGTGATGTATGCAACATTCAAATCACTGTTAAATTTTCAGTGGATTCGGTTGTTGATTCAATTATCGTGTTTGTTCAACTGAAAGATTGCCAAATCTTTTGAAAAGAGCTTCTTGTAGTAATTTGATGGCTTCTCAACAAGTCTGGATGATTTTCTTAATGATGAAGACAGTTCTGTACATTCCTTCCTTATATTTTAGATTCTTTGTAATGTTTATATTATATTTGAAACAACCATAAGCAGCATATTGTCGCCATCCAGTTAAAAAGGAAGTTTGCTTTGTCCCGTGGATTAGTCGGGGCAAAGCCCCGGATACCCCAAGGAAGCTTGCTTGAGCGATTCAAAGTAAGTTATGGTTGTGAAACCAGGAATGCAGAAATTAACCCAACTTTAATTAAATTTAGGTTGGGATGGGATCAACCTATTAGCTAACTTGGAACCGACATACTTTTATCAGGTAGTATTACTTTAAAATAGTTTTCAATATTCTATTATTTTTGAGACAAAACAGTGTGGATTGTTATTAGAATTGTCTCAACATGAGCTGAATTCAAGTGTAGATTGAGATATCCGAGATAGTGCTGCTCGATTACATGTTTTCGTAATAAAAGACATGGAGTAGTTGAATCCCGAGGACTTGAATACGGGCACACTGTTAGGCCACCACATAACGCCCTCGTTGGATTTTGAGGATTTGTGTTTTAGTTGAATATCAACCACTTGCACGAGCTGGAGAACCATGAAGGAATATTCTTATTGGATGAATCTGTAACATGTACTTAGATCAACAGTTTCTGGGCATCATCTTAATCACTATATACTTGAGTGAAAAAGATGATTGACTCAACCAAAGTCTAATCTTTATTCAATACCTATTTTTATTATTGAAAAAAGATATTTTAAGTGATTTTGGTTCGTTAATTTCTGATTTGTTAAACCATAAATTAGTGAAACGTCCATAATGCGGGATGATATTTTGCCGTGTACTGTGTTTATGTATACTGGAAACATTACCGAGACTGGAGAGTGGTGGTGGAGACTAGAGTGAGAAACTGAGGAGCGAGAGAGAGAGAGAGAGGAGGAAATGTCGGGTAAAGAAGGGGAGGTGGTGTGCGTAACGGGAGGCAGTGGGTATATCGGTTCGTGGCTGGTCCGTCTCCTCCTCGAACGCGGCTACACCGTTCACGCCACCGTCAAAGATCTCAGTTACACTCTCTCTTTACCCTTTCCCATTTCTACATATCAATTCAATTTTATTTCCTAATTCCATTTTCCTCTCTCTCTCTCTCTCTCTTTTTTTTTTGCCCCTTCTGTTAGAGGATGAAAAAGAAACTAAGCATCTCGAAGCCCTAGAAGGTGCCCAATCGCGTCTCCATCTCTTCCAGATCGATCTCCTCCACTACGACTCCATTGTCGCCGCCGTCACTGGCGCCAACGGCGTCTTTCACCTCGCATCTCCCTGTATTGTCGATCAAGTTCATGAACCTGAGGTTCGTGCCCAATTCAATGTACACACGTCTGTTTATATATATATATATATATTCAGTTTTTTGCTATGACTGGCAGAAGGAGCTATTGGACCCGGCGATTAAGGGGACCAACAATGTACTCACTGCGGCAAAAGAGCTGGGGGTCCGGCGAGTGGTGGTGACCTCATCCATATCTGCGATCACTCCGAGCTGGTACTGGCCAGCAGATGTAGTCAAGGATGAAAATTGCTGGACGGATATTGATTACTGCAAGACAAAAGGGGTGAGTCTCTTGCGTTTTCTTACATGTTCACCTTTTTTTTTTTCATTCTCCCAAATTTGTTTGAGTATTTGCTTATTTGGTATTAATGACTTCGATCTTTGCCAGAGGGAGGATTATTCATAACCCATAACCAACTGTATTATGAGAAGTAATTAAATGATCATATTTCACCACAAGTTATTGTACTTAACACTAACATTATTATTTGGTTTGCCATCAAAATCATTCACAGTGCTCCTCATGGCAATCACCCAAATTTTACTGATAATTTTTTTTAATAGATTACTATAACATCTATAATTTTCCTTTTAAGCTATGTCTCATGTATGGAGAAATTATTACATGGTCTAGGACTACATGGTCCCGGTCAATCACAACTCTGCACTTAAGCAAAAATCTGATTAAAAACTGACACATTTGCTTGCGTGTCGAGTTGTGATTAGCCGGGACCATGTAGTCTCGAACCATGTAAAGATTTCTCATCATGTATGCTCAAAATACCTTTTGGGAAATAGCTTTGTTGAGTTGAGTTGATGCTAAACTTATACCCTTTGTGTAAAGGAAGCAAAATGTACTGAGAAAGTAAAAACAACATATCTTGCTCTTTCTGCAGCTGTTTGGGTTATTTTTAAAGTTCACCAGGAAACAAAGACTCAAGTTTTTCCATCATGAATTTTCATGTTACGGAAGCATAAATAACTTATCAAAGAAATGTTATAGAAGTATGAATGGCTTTGAGGGAACTAATGTCCCGTAACAAAATAGTTGTCCGTGGGGTTTACTCTATGTTTTCACAACTAAACACACATTATTCAGGTTTATTTTTATTTTTTGGTGGCGTTTCGTATGTACAGAAAATAAATGCATATAATTTTACATGCATATACTTGCTCTAAGGACTTCTCTGAGTCTAATGTTTTTTCATTTGTTTCCGTGTGTTATTTGTTGCTCCATGTTGTGCTTGAAGAAGATTGAAGTACTTTAGGTGTGTTTTTGATGTTTGCTTTCTTCAAAAGCACATACATGTCTGTAGATAAAATTGGCTTCAGTAAATTTCTCAGTAATTGTTCATGCTTATAGGTTAAGATGATATACTGGTATCCAAATATGTTCTTAAATTGCATTTTATAATATTTATTTATTTATTTTTGCCTTCTGTGGTCTAGCTGTGGTATCCACTTTCTAAAACACTAGCTGAGAAAGCGGCTTGGGAATTTGCCAAGGAAAAAGGTTTAGATGTGGTTGTGGTGAATCCTGGAACTGTTATGGGACCTATCCTGCCTCCAGCACTTAATGCAAGCATGTTAATGATTCTTCGCCTTCTTCAGGGTATTGCACAAATTTGAATAAGCTATTGTAGTTTTTATTGAAGCATGCTGCACTTTAAAATGTTAGGGTCTAAGATGTGCGTAAATATATCTTTGTAGTATCCTTTTGCTTGAGTCCATTATAAACTCATCTGGAAGAACCCATCTAACCAGAACTCGTGCATTACAACAGATTATTATCTGTTCAATTGATGTTTGTGAATTTTCAGCTTTAGACCGATATATGTTTCTTCATGTTGAACTGGGGATCTTAAAGGAGTATTTGGCATTTAAAGTAACAAGGCTGTTGCAAAGTGCACCCCTCGCCACTCCCCTAGGAAATTGCTTTTATGTTTTATTTTTCCTCACAAGGGAAATAAAGTGAAAATCTTGTTTGTTTCAAGCTAATATATTAATTCTGTCATTGTTCACTTTGTAATTGAACTTCAAGCAGACATTAAACTTACCCTGTATACCATTCTGAATGCATTTGAGTGGTGGTAAATCGAGTATTTCCATTCCATTGAACTATTTCATTAAACTCTTCCCGGGCTGTGCTTAAGGTTTTACACACTATTAGTGCTAAGCCTGGAAATTTGAAAAGAGTTTGACAGCTGGCATGATAGCTGTAGATGTCAATTACCAATAGCTGACATGGCGCATTTAAAAGTTAACACAATCCCTTAACTGAGACTTCGTGGCAAGTTGAAAAGCCAAAAAGAACTTTATTAAGCCTTGAGGGCTCAACCCCGAGCACTCCAAACCCTGCTATCACACCAGGTCATTAAGCCTCAAGGGACTAATCCTCGAGCAACCCGAACCCTGGCGCCCCACCAGGTCATTAAGCCTCGAGGAATCAACTCTCGAGCACCCCAAACCCTGGTAGCGCACCAGGTCAATAAGCCTTGAGGAATCAACCCTCAAGCACACCAAACCCTGGTAGAGCACCAGGTCAGTAAGCCTTTAGGAACCAACCCCCGAGCACACCTAACCCCTAACCCTGGTTGCGCACTAGGTCAATAAGTCTTGAGGTCCCAACCCTTGAGCATACTAAGCCCTGGTACCACACCAGATCACTAAGCCTTGAGAACCCATACCTCGAGCATCACAAACCTTAGCAACATACTAAGTTGCTAGAACTTGAGGGCTCAACCTCTGAAGCCCCCTTTGAGCCTCACAGCGCACTGAGGCATTAGAGCCCTAGGGAGCTCGCCTTTAAATTACTATATCTACATAAGTCCAAACATAGCACGAAACGAAGGTAGGGCCTTCTCAACTATGTGGGACCTTACTTTGGGAAACTTAGAAGGATCTTAGACTGGTGGATGAGAAGTTAAGAAGTGCCTCCACTTCCAGCGAGGTCCAATCAACGAGATGATAGAAATATATACATTATGACAACAAACCTTAAAATCACATTTAATGCTATGATAGACTTGGCCAACCGACGGTCAAGTAAGAACAAAGAGCATTTAATACCCCAAATGGGGGAGACGCAACATAGTGCATGGCTCGATAAGAGGATTTGACCTCTTAGGCTCCTAGGTCTATCATGACTACCCATGTGATCATGGTTAGGAGCGAGGCACACAAGAAACTGCTAGTTAATAACTAGCATGTTTCATGGTCTATAAATAGCACTTCTGGATGATAAGCTAAGGCTGCCTCCAGCACACCCACGTATGTGCGCGGATATGCCCATCCATTCAACCTCTGGTCCAGCCACACCTCGCTCCGCCTCATCCTCCTCGCGAGCCTCAGCGCTCGCTGCCTTAGTCACCCCTGCTATGGGGGCATCTCGCTCCATTTCGTTAATTTCTTGCAAGTGAGGGTTCTTGCACCCCAACCATGGGCGAGGTTTGCCCTTTTTCTCCCTCTTCACCATCCCCTGGCACTTCTTGAAAGGACATTTCCACAAGTCTTTCTTTTTCTAGCGCTACAACAACTTGCTTAGACAAAGGCTTAGAGGTCTCGCTGGCAGTACTGTTGATTCATCATTACCCACTGGCTAAGCCTCACCACGAGAATGATCCATTTCTTCCATTACGTGCTCTGACCCCTCGTTAGTACTGTTGTCCTCTCCAGACAGTTCTGTGATCACAACACTGGAGCGTCGCTGTGCCATTTCAAACACTGCCACTGCTGGCGCATATATCATCATTGGCAACTCAGCTATAACCTGCTCAGTGCTCGCAACACTCTGATGCTCACTTCCCACTGATCCTTGGGTTGTATCATGCACAGGCGAGTCTCACATTGCAATGATAGGCGATTTATCCAAAGTATTCAATGGCGCTTCCTCCCTCTCCTCTGCTGGCCACGCTGGGGCATTTTCCTAAGTACAAGGATTCACAATGTTCTCCCCTAAGGCTTTCATAAAGTCAAAAGGGGGCAAATTAGGGAAATCATTGTCAGAAGAGGGTACCTCATCCGAGCTCACATCCAGCACTGTGGCATTAAGTCTGGTATCTCGCACGCGATGAAACATGCGCCCTCCGGTTGCACTAGGCCTAAAAATAAAGGCTATCAACCCATGTTCCCCAACGAGGGGTTGCACCTCTGGATTATCAGCTGAGGTGTCAGTATCCACGCTGTCAGTCTCATCTTCGTCTACAAGTATCGACTTGCGAGGTTGTGCCCTTGGGCGTGGCATGTTTGGAGTTTGGGGCCTCGCACTTGCCCCGCTTGCACTAACTGTTGCTGGAATTGTAGAGGCCACAATTGCCTGTTTCGCTTGAGGCCCAGCGCTCGAGCGAGACTGCGCCTTTGTCTTGCGCCTAGAAGAGGTTACCACCGAAGCCACTTTAGGCATTGGCATAGCGCCTTCCTGCGAAGCCTGCGATGCCTCTTGCACACTTATGCCAGCCACGGGTACAAACCTATAATACTCGCCCATGTCAAAGTCAATGGGAGGCCTCAACGAGTAATCCCTAGCATATATCACAAGGGCTTTCGCTCGCTTTATAGGACTTATACAAAAGTCTTTCCAGCTCGCAAGCTAAATAGCCCAGAATGTATGCACTGCCTTTGTTGACGTGGGAGTTCGGCGCCTCCCTGGCAAAAACAAAGCACCCAGCCCTTCTATCAGCAGTCTGGTGTGCGTTGCCATGAACCTCAGAAAACTCCCCTCATAGGACTCCTCGCCACTTGCAAAAACGTATTATGAGGGCACCCCTCGATCATACCCAAATTGAAGGGGCACCCTGCGAGGGTTGTAAGTCTTCACCATCTCCCAGCCTCCTAAGACGCTGTCAAGTAGCCAGGCGTCATGTAAAGCAGTAAAATTAATACATCGCTCGCATGAAGTCGAAAGGCACCAGCAGGGATATTTTCATCTTCATCAAAGTACATTGCCCTAGTTAGTGCGCCGGGTAAAGCTGCAACGTAGGGTCGCGCAATGAATTGAAAACTTTGGTCAATTGCATAGTTGAGGAACGCGCCCATGAGGAACGGGCCCCCGCTATCTCATTCCTCGAACAACCAGCTCGTTGATGGCCAAATCTACAGGGGCTAGAGCATAAGCCTTAATTCTCTCATACAGCAACATCTGCAAGGACAAGGTCGAGACATACGAGTTTGCCACATAACGCCCCACAGAGCATGCAGAGTCCTCTGCCACCAGATCTAATCGATGGTACAATGTCCCTAAAAACAAGGGCGCGAGAGCCACTTTCACTCCACTCGCTAATTTCACAGCGAGATCCAGATGACGTGACAAAGGAGCATCTTCTGGGGTGCCTTCCAATATATACCTCGATAGCCAACACAACACAATAGGTAGGCAGTGAGGTTTGAGGGATGGTCCACCCAAGGACCAACAATGCCATCCTTGCCTTCGTTGGGCAAATCCTTCTTTGACATTGGATAGTCCCTGAAGTTGTATCGCACCCACGATCCAAATGTACACTTCCTCGCCCCTTTCCCTCGATCTGCATTTTTGACCCCCTTCTTGCCTCATAGGGTGCCAAAGTTCTTGGTTTTGTCCAAGGCCTTAGTCAAATCCCCCATTAGCACCTCCTCTGTCTCGCTCAAAGACTACGACCCAGGGTTCTTTGTACCTTAGCGTCACATCCTTAATCGTGGGAGTGAACTCCCCCTTCGCTGTCATGAAGGTATGCGAGCTAGAACTCCACCGCGATGCTAGCTCCCACACACCAGCCACATTGCGAGGAATACCCAATTGCCGAAATAACGTAATCGACGCGAGTAGCCCGATGCGTTTGTACTCCTCATTTGCAAGTATGGCATCTGTCCATTCTTCCCAACCATGCCCAGGGTTGGTATGATTTACTAGATCCACATAAGACCATGGGTACTTACCCTGTTCCACACAAAACTTGAGAATTGTGTCTGCTGGTATACACAAGGCTGAGGCTACCTCCACCTCTTCCTTCATTAACTCAGGGAACTCCAGTGGTTCACTAGTGGCCCCACCCCTCTCTACCCAATGCCATAATCTGTCATATTTCCCAAAGAATGGCGCTCTTCGCCATTCCGAGTCCACAGGCACCCGTGGTGGTGGTTGGTCTTTCTTGCTTAACTCCTTCCTCACCATCGTGTTCTCAAAAGCGCACTCTCTCTTTACCTTTGCCGGCAACAATGGCAGCCCACAAACCTCTCACCGTTCTTCCTCTTTGTCTCTCCCCCTTTCTCTTTATAATTTGCTTTGATCTCTTTCAAATACACACAAGAGTGAACATCAAATAACCTTTTGGATTTTTGGCAAACACACCCTTTTAAACCACCACGCTTTGAGAACCTCTCCATGTGAAGCGACACTAAAACGGTGCATTAATGACCCTAGTGTCTCTTCAGTCTCTTTGAATCAATGCCTATATGCCCATTCAGATATTGCACGCGCAACAATAATCTCCGAATCGTCACACGCGCAGGGGGATTAAATGTAGATGTCAATAACCAATAGCTGACATGGTGCGTTGAAAAGTCAATACAAACCCTTAACTGAGACTTCGTGGCAAGTTGAAAAGTCAAAAAGAAGTTTATTAAGCCTTAAGGGCTCAACCCTCGAGCACTCCAAACCTTGGCATCACACGAGGTCATCAAGCCTCGAGGGACTAACCCTCGAGCAACCCGAACCCTGGCAGCCCACCAGGTCATTAAGCCTCGAGGAATCAACCCTTGAGCACCCCAAACCCTGGTAGCGCACCAGGTCAATAAGCCTTGACGAATCAACCCTCGAGCACACCAAACCCTGGTAGCGCACCAGGTCAATAAGCTTTGAGGTCCTTACCCTTAAGCATAGCAAGCTTTGGTACCACACCAGATCACTAAGCCTTGTGAACCCAAACCTTGAGCATCACAAACCTTAGCAACATACTAAGTTGCTAGAACTTGAGGGCTCAACCTCCGAAGCCCCCCTTTGAGCCTCATAGTGCACTGAGGCATTAGAGCCCCAGGGAGCTCGCCTTTAACTTACTATATCTACGTAAGTCCAAACATAGCACGAAACGAAGGTAGGGCCTTCTCAGCTATGTGGGACTTTACTTTGGGAAACTTAGAAGGATCTTGGACTGGTGGATGAGAAGTAAAGAAGTGCCTCCACTTCCAGCGAGGCCCGATCAACGAGATGATGGAAATATATACATTATGACAGCAAACCTTAAAATCACATTTAATACTATGACAGACTTGGCCAACCGACAGTCAGGTAAGAGCAAAGAGCATTTAATGCCCCAAATGGGGGAGACGCAACATAGTGCATGGCTTGATAAGAAGATTTGACCTCTTAGGCTCCTAGGTCTATCATGACTACCCATGTGATCATGGTTAGGAGCGAGGCACACAAGAAACTTCTAGTTAATAACTAGCATAAATGGCATTATCGCATGAAAGAACAATAAGCCAGAAAAGGACTGTCGTTAGACATGTATATCTGTCCTACCTCCATCTTAATCTTGGAAGATCGGTCTTCTTCTCCTTCACCAAGCATCTTTTCTGTTTCCTTCATATTTGTATCTTAGATGTCACCTTTATATACTTGTTTATTGTGTTATTCAAAAAGAACCCCTACAATGGCATGTGTGCATGTCACTTCCATAAATTCTAGTGTTCCTTATTTTTTGTAATTAGTGGCTTAAGATTGCATTTTGAGGATTTATTTTCCTTTCTACTGGCTCAAACTTATTAATGAACTGTGTAGTTGCCTTAGAATAGATTTTCCTCTTTGTCTTGCCAGTTTCCTCTCAACTCTTGATCATCTAGTGTAGTAAGTATTAAACGTAGTAGTCCTGAAGTTTGTCCAGTGCTTCACATTTATTGTTAGATGCTGACAGTTTTCAATCTCCACCAAAAACATTACTCAGACATTTTGGAATTCCAAACTTATAATTTTTAGAATTAACCCAAGAATTCAAATTGCATTTTGGCCAGGCTGCACAGAGATATATAAGGATTTTTTTATGGGGTCTGTCCATGTTAAAGATGTGGCCCTAGCACACATATTAGTGTATGAAAACACGTCAGCAACTGGAAGGCACTTGTGTGTGGAAGCTATATCTCATTATGGCGACTTTGCTGCAAAGGTTGCAGAACTTTGCCCTGAATATAAAGTGCCCAGGTAATGTGTTTTAACTCTGCATGCTTGCTTTTTAAAATTTTTTTATTGTGTTTTTGATTGTTTATTTATTCATTTTTATAGTTAGAACTATTAACATGTCTTGCGGCTGTGGAACTGATGATAATTATATGCTGGCATCTAAAACTCATAACTCTGCCATATGGTTTAATAGAAGGATAATCTTTAAAAGGGTGCATAATGATTAATTTCTAGTAGTTTTTATGGCATTTTGAAAAAGTAAAAGGAAGTAATGTTCACAGTCCATAAAAATTTTTCCGCCCTTATCTTATACGGTAATAGTAAGGTACAATGGGGAGTGGAGTACGGGATGATTTATTTGGGGTGTGAGTATCGTGTCCAAGAAAAGAAAAAAAAAAAAAAACCCGAAAAGAAATGCTAGTTATGGATTAGGCATATGTAATTTCTGTTATGTCTAAAGAGCATTGTCCCATATCATTAGGATGTAAGAAAAATAATCAAGTCAATAAATGGATCACATATTGTAATATCATGCCAAAAGATCACATACCTCCGGCCATGAAATTAGTTCTGCAAAACAAAATGAGAAAACCTCAAGACGTTCACGTGTATGCAAGTCCTTACGCATATACTGACGGGGACAACATAGATATTTCTTTTCTTCACTTGCTACTCATGGGAGTACAATCCATCATGCATCCCCCATTTATTCGGATTAGATTATCGGTTATGAAACTACTCTAGTAGCATCCCAAAACCACATGTCAGAATGTGTGTCAAAATGCCAACTTAAAAATAACCATAAAAGGATGTGTTAGAATATGTGTGGCAATATAGGCCACATCACATTTGACAAACAAACGTGTACAGTTACCAGTTCTGGTGGTTCCAACTTTCATTTCTTCTTATTAGACAAATATTTGGAGGTAGAGACTCTTAGGAGAAGACTGGTAGAAGTCGTCTTAATGTTTCTCTTGGTAAAAGCTTAAAGCTGAGGATTTTAATCATTTCAATCGCTGCTTTATGCTGCAAGTGTTGGTATATTACAATTCTATCTGGGCCTGCATACGTTCTCAAAATTCCATTCACTATTGCGCTTGATGGGTAGCTTAACTTCAATATGGTATTGTCAGATTTAAATATTCCTCATTCTTAATCAGTGCTTTCCTATAGGTTGCCAAAGGATACCCATCCTGGCTTGCTGAGGACCAAGGATGGATCTAAGAAGCTAATGGACTTGGGTCTGCAATTCATCCCCATGGAGCAAATAATCAAGGACTCTGTTGAGAGTTTAAAGAGCAAAGGGTATATTTCTTGAATGAAACCTTCAAGCCTCTGCACACCTGGAACTGGTAAAGGCCAAGAACTTTGTGGGATAACAGTATAACAATAAAGATATTGGGTATATATTGATCAATGAGATATCCTTGTAATTTTGGGCTGGGGTTGTAACTGAACTAACCTGAGTTCGAAATTGTGTGTATTTTGTTATGTTTTATTGAGTTTATTATTGGTTTTGTGTGGTAATTTTTCTTTTCAATTAGAGGTTGCGTTGAGCTACTTTTAGAGATATTCTAATTTAAAAGTTGTAAGCTTTTTGACTCTCCCACTTTATTACATATTCTCGGGTTGTTTTGGGATTAATATGCCTTTGGCCAGCCCCTGATGGTTGAAAGGCAATCATTAACATGTCTTGTTGTGGAAAAATTATTCATTGCAACCGTTGATCAATGGTTACAAACATTCCACCAAAACAAAATGTCTAAGATCGTGTAGTGTTTAGACATCAACTTGGTCCGGAGTGAATTAAACGGCAAATGAAGATTCTAGTCTCGTGGTTTGTATGTGTTTTCTTGCCAAGGAAATAAAAAAAACCCAAATATTACCATCCAAATGAGGTGTCAGAAGCTCGAGCTTAAACTTAAATCTACTTATATTTTCCTTGGCAAATGAGTTTTAGCTTGGAAACAAAATACACTTGTTGCTGGATGTGTAACTGGAGGTGCCTCATCGGCAAGGGGTAATCTCTTCTCTATGTATATTGATTTATTCTCTTTCTAGAAAGTGCATCTAAGCCTGGAACTTGCGGTTAGATAAAATAATCACTTAACGTGCACATAAGAACATAACGTTCTTGTGAAATTTTAGATCTTTATATTATATCCAAAGTTTAGGTATTGCTTGCGCATACATGGGACGGTCAGAAAGTATTTCGGAAAAACTATAGCACCTATGACGGCTATTTTGTGTGGTTTAATATCAAGATCTTTAGCTTCACTTAACAGTCTTGTTAATTGTAATTTATGTCCTCCGATCCTAATTGTAATTTTTACCATCAAGTCTGCATATAGGCTATCTCCTCATATCATTGAATTAAATAGAAATCTTAATGACATATTGATAGTGACCTTTGAAAATATGATACTCCTCTTCCTCGGACATTTGTTTGCGTGACAGTATACATGATGCTTCTCTAAATAGACAAAGTCTACTTTCTTTTTCCCATGGATTCCAACATTTGAATGCCATGCAATTTCTGAGCATTTCATAAATTGGTATCGGTATGAGTTGTTACAAAGGGCTGAAATTGTTTTCTACTGCTCTGCTAGAAGTCTCGTATGTTTTCTACCATTTCATGTGTAAGTGGTAGAATTTTGGTCCTTGCTCATGTTACATGTGTGCCACGATTGCGGTCTTTCTGTTTTTTCTGCCAATAATATTATTCTTAAATCAATCTATTTTGTTTTTTAGGTGGTCCTCAAGCAGCACGCGTTGGCTGTGCTGGTTTTGTTGCATTTTCAGATCTGATAGAGAAGTTTCTAGATAGACATGATTGAGCAAACAGATACCTGATTCAGTATTGCTGGCGCGTTAGTTTTTTGGGTCAGCATGTTTGGTTGCATAATTTATAATACTACCTCAGTCCCATTTTAATTGCCGCCTTTAGAAATTGTGACTCACAAAACATTTGAATCACGGCTCCCGAAGGCGATAATGAAAGTGGGACACAGAGAGTAGTTTTTTAGTTTACAATTGATAGTCGAATTATTTTTGTCCCCTTTTATGATGGGAAGTATTACGGAGTATTCAAGTCCTTTGATTTTGTACTATTTTCATTTTCCTTTTACTCTCAGCTGAGAAAATTAAGATATTTTAAGTGATTTTGGTTCTTATTGGAACCCAAAGTTACATGACCAAAAATGAAAAAAATGACATAAAGTGGATCCACTGTTAAGTTAATTTCTGATTTGTTAAACCATAAATCAGTGAAACGTCCGTAATGTGGGATGATTTTTTGTCGAGCCCATTATAAACTGAAAAAAACTATTGCATTTATTTATTAATTGTTATATATGTGCGGCACAAAAATATATTCCTCTATATGCAAATTGTAAAGGATGGCACACAATTTAAGGAATCTTACAAATGCACAACCAGTACCCAGACATTGGGAATATGAATATTGCAAATTGCATTTGGGATTTCTGTGTTAGTTGAATTGTAATGATTACCATTGCAGTCTTAGCTTTGTTTACAAGCACATTGTATTGCTATAAATATCAATTCATTATGGTATTATCAATTCATTATGGTATTCTAAGTGTACGAAAAGCATAAGAGAAATAAAGAAAGTTCTCATCTCTCTCTTAATTTATTGTGTTCTATTATTATTTTTATAACACGTTATTAGCACAAGTTCTAATTTTTTGAGACTTGAAAAAGAAATTCTCTTTCTTTCTTTCTATCTCAACTCTATATATTTATTTTGTGATAGTAATTTTGATAAATTGTTAGGTTTGCTTGCACCAAAGAATATTTTATTTCCCACTCTAAATGGTAAGAAAATTTTATTTATTTTTTACTTTTATTATTTAATGATCGATTTAACTGTTTTATCAATTAATGATTTAATGGCCGATTTTACCGTCTTTATTACTTAAAATTATAATAGTTCATATTGTTTTATTTAATGCCATTTTATTATTAAGATATACGCTTATTTTCATACTATGCTAAAATTGTGTTCTTATATTGTTATTACATCTAGTTATTCTGAAAATGTCAAACCTGACAAAGCTGGAATTCGTGGCTCTGGACATTTTCGGCAAAAATGATTTATCTTGGATTCTGGGATGCTCAGATCTATCTAGATGCCATGGGTTTTGGAATCACAATTGAAGAAAAATATGATGCATCGTTACAAGATAAGGCAAAGGCCGTGATTTTTCTTCGTCGCCATATTAGTGAGGAATTGAAAGCTGAATACTTTACTGAAAGAGATCCACTGAATTTGTGAAAATTTTTGAAAGAAAGATACGATCATCGAAAAACTGTTATCCTCCCAAGAGCTCGAGCCGATTGGCAGGAGTTGCGGTTGCAGGATTTCAAAATTGTGGCTGAATACAATTCTTCTCTATTTAAAATCAGCTTTATGTTAAAATTATATGGTGATACTGTCATTGATGAGCTCCTATTGGAAAAAACATACACCACATTTCATGTCTCAAATGTGCTTTTACAGCAACAATATCGAGAGCGTAGATTTGAAAAATATTCAGAGCTAATAACAAACTTACGTTAAGAAACAACCAGTCCCGTCCAACTCGATCGACATCGATCCCTGAAACATACGTTGCCTCGTTTCATGGATAAGGATGTGGATGCGATGTGGGCGTGGGCGTGGGCGTGGTAATGAATATGGCCGTGGTGTTCGAAATTGCAATGAATATGGTCGAGATAATCGAAATGGTTATAATGGTAAATATGGTCGTGAAAGAAATCATTCTTATTACTGTGAAGGTTATCAATCCTTAAATTCTAATAATCAGAGATTCACACCATATCTCCAGAAAATGGATTAAAAGGGGAAAAGTATGGTCTAAACTTCAAAGACATATGCAAATATTTGTTATCGGTGTGGAATGAAAGGGTATTGGCAAAGTATATGTTGTACGCCTAAATACTTGGCTGATCTGTACCAAGCCTCACTGAAGGAAAATGGAAAAAAAATAGAAATGAATTTTACTGATTTCAATGAGCCAGTGGATATCACAAATCTGGACATGTCAGATTTATTTGAGGATAGTGATGGAAAAATTAACCACTTGATTGGTGATGGAAATGTCCACACCAATTAAACTCTACTTTCTTTTATCATGTCATTATTAGTCTGTATTTGTTGTTGTTATTTTTGTTGTTGTTTGTTTTTATTGTTGTGCCTGTACTGAAATTTCTTTAGTTGCATTTGAATTAATTTTTTTTTTTTTTTAAACCATACTTGAATTAAAGTTTCTATTGTCATAAAGTTAAAATATGAACTTTGCATGATATATATAGGCATGAATCTATCAAATGCATTGGTTAATGGTTATCATATATGCCTTGCAGACAGTGGAGCAACACAAATAATTCTTCGAGATAAAAAATATTTTTCCCACTTAACATTGACTGAGGCTAGTGTTAGTACACATTTTAGGTCCCACAAGTTTGATTGAAGGCTCCGAAAGAGCTAATATTGTTTTACTACGTAGACAATAATACACATTGATAAGGCCTTATATTCTACTAGATCTCAAATAAATTTGTTGAGCTTTAAAGATTTACGTCAAAATAGGTATCACATTGAGACCACGGATGAAGGAAATGTGGAATATCTCTGTACTACTTCTAAAAAGCATGTACTTGAAAAACTTCTTGTTTTTTCTTCTGGGTTATATTATACAACCATCAGGATAGTTGAGTCAAATGATGCGATACACCAAAAATCTTGTGATCCAAAACTTTTTGTACTTTGGCGCAATCGACTTGGTTACCCGGGGACTACAATGATGCGTCGAATTATTGAAAATTCACATGGACACTAATTAAAGGATCAAAAAAATCCTTTTATCAAATAATCATCTACGTACTGCCTGCTAACAAGGCAAGTTGATTATCAGACGATTCCCTTCAAAAGTCATTGTTGAATCCCTTACCTTTTTACAACGAATTCACGGGGATATATGTGGCCCAATTCATCCACCTTGCGGACCATTTCGTTATTTTATGGTCTTAATTGATACCTCAACACGGTGGTCACATATTTGTTTGTTTTCTACTCATAATGTTACATTTGCTAGACTCCTTACTCAAATTATCAAATTCCAGGCACACTTTCCTGATTATCCAATTAAGACAATCCGTCTTGATAATGCCGTTGAAATTTCTTCTTAAGCTTTGATGACTGTTGTATGTCAGTTGGAATTAGTGTTGAACATTCTGTTGCACACACTCATACTCAAAATGGTTTGGCAGAATATTTTATTAAAAGATTTCAGTTAATTGGTTGACCTTTACTTATGTATACAAAATTACTTGTTTCTGCTTAGGGACATGCCATATTACATGTTGCATCATTAATTCGCATATGACCAACTGTTTACCATAAATTTTCACCCTTATAACTTGTGTTTGGACAATTGCCAAATATTTCTCATATACAAGTTTTTGGTTGTGCCGTATATGTTGTTATTGCACTACCGCAACACACTAAAATGGGTCCTCAACATAGACTTGGAATATATATTGGTTTTGATTCTCCTTCTATCATTAGATATCTTGAGCCC